AGTCCCAGTAATTTTAAAGAAAAAAAACCTCAAGGACATGTTGCTAAGCAACGAAGTACTTAGCTTATACGCGCATCCGAGTGTAAAATAGGTCACAAAGACTGACAAGTTCGCCTTTATAACATTTATAGTTATAATTACTTTACCTATCTAATGTAGTACTATGGTCTTTGCGACCAAATTGTATCTTTAACTAATTATTGGGCTCACATTCACGCATTGTATGGAAATCATATCTAATGCACTCAAATAAAGGGGATTCAAACATAAAAATAGTTATAATTTGGTAAACATAGCTGGTTCCGTGGGAATCAGAATATCATGTTTAACACGTGATTTGAAATTTACTAATTGCATCATACACTGTAACCATCCAATCAAATTCATTATTTGCAGAATCTTAAGTCATGAAGTAAGCAAATCTGTTAAAGAACCCAGACCAGCCATTCAAGACTCGGATATCATTGGGTTCCGGATGGATACCATCTGATAGTTCCTAGAGACTTCTTCTGCGTGCTCAGAGAGGCTAGACATCGTCTTATTGGTTCTTTAGAAAACCATATGATGTAGCCATTTCCTGAGTCTAGTCATGCTGGTTTACAGGAGTTGGGGTTGAGAGAAAGGTGTTAATTTTAACGTATGCTAATGTAATCTATTGTGCATTGTACCATGTATCCAGCTTGACATAAAATGTAAAAACGAACTGATGCATTTTTATTCCTGTTAAGACAAACGTCTGAACTATATAATGAGAAGATAAACGTCTTAACGGGATAGTAAGAAGAAAACACATAACGTGAAAAGGAAGCCAGGGAAGACAAGAAAATATTAGACGATCACTTAAGGCTACTAAGATATGTAGTAAGAAAAGAATGCATGGGTCATACTCATCTGACAGACGACCCATTAGAAAGGTGGCGGGTTGAAATCAGTAGAAACCAATTTGTACACATTACTTACATGACTGTTTCCAGGGGAAGTTGGCAGCAACAAATACTGCAATAAAAATAAATCAAGACATCAGGGTTTGTCTGCAATTGCCAGCAAGCTAGTGCTGCAAAACGGTTGCGGTTCAAGAGCCAGGTTGTATCGATAATACTTTTACGGCTAAATCTATTTGTTAAGGCCAGCTCAATTTTTGTCAATTTAGATGTAAATAAGGTTAGGGTACGTGATTGTATGTTAGGATTAGGGTAAGCAATGGGGCTAGATCCAGGGTTAGGGTTAGGATTAGCACTAGCCCTGTTTACATCTCGTGACCTATGACGAAAAAGTGAGATGGTGCTGGCCTTATTATTTAGTACTAACCTTGCATTCACGGTTCAAAGCAAAGGGGGGCTAACTCCTTTTACGTAAAAAAAAACCCAAGGTAGCCATGTGTTGTTTCGGCCCATCAAAACTGATCTTAAAGGGATATTATCGAGTTTGTTGAACTTAAAGATGCATTACGTAAATCCTAAATTTACCTATTGCAGGTTTTTATTTTGGCCTCAAAGGTTATATATATATAAACTATATTAATTAGACATTTATTCGATCACACGACAATCAACCCTCTTTATATCATGGATGACCGAGATTTAAATAGATTAGAACACCCATGAGTTTTAAAAACCTAACGATAACATGGGTAATCAAGACTTTAGTCTCGATTGTCAAGTATGGTTACTGCGATAATAAACAATCTACGCTACATCTTTTCAAGACTTCAAACACTGATATCTTCACACAGAAAGGAGTAATTTGAATGAAACCTTCAATATATTCATTTTTCATAATCTATTTTTGAATATTATAACAAGAACAGCCAGCTCTTTAACTAAATGTTACTTAATGCATCTTTAACATATGTCACAATTGATTTCTGACTCGGCAGCACAAAGAAAACAATAACAATATGAATATCTATTTTAAAATATAACCTCTTTCAGGCACATATATAAACATGTGACTTGTGAGGAAAAGATCTAAAGACCAAAACCAAACAAATACCATGATCTGATATGGTGTATTTGGGGCAGGTATAATTCAAAATGTTAGCATTTGTCTCACTTGTAAATTACATGATCAAAGACAGTGTTAATATTTTTGTAATCTTTCGGGCAAGAAACAGCATCTAGTCGATGTACAATGTATATGTTCATATGTACATAAAAGAATCCTTGGAAGTTGAAATTCGAGTAAGTAAGTAGTACACTGAATGACATAATAAGCCAATCTTCATTAGCTCAACTGATGCAGAAAAGTATGATGTTATGATCTTTTTTCCATAAGATTAACAGGAAGTGCCTATTTGTTTACTGAGGTTAGTTTCATTTCCTGTGTCGACAGTGGAACAAAAAAATCAATTATATCTTAACACTGTCTTTATATATGAATGGGGAGACACAGTGGCTCCGTAAGTTAGACGTTGCCCGCTAACCTGGAGGTCCTGTGTTTGATCCTGGTGTTTGCTGAGAAAGTTCATCAGGTTTTCCAGAGTGGTTCCCCCTTGTCAGTGATGTTGGACAGGAAGTCTGGCAAGGGACAACATACAGTCGTTCAGATGTGACCAAAAAACTGAGTTCCTGTGTACACATTGGTATGCACAGAGAACCCTTGACAGTTGGAATTTGATAAATTTGTAAATATTCATCAAAGACAGGGTTTTTACACAAAACAAATCAATATACAAAACCCACTCAAATCAACAACTTTATTTCTAAATCAGTTCTGACCACAGTCAAAAAGGTCTGAACATTTTAATACAAATGAATCACAATTTCACCAAATTTGGACGAAGAGAGGCTCTAGGTCATTCCACTTATAAGGCCCCTGCCAATCCCCCACCCTCACAGCTAGTAGAAGATGAAAGTGTGGTTTTAAACACAACCGAGGATGATGCATGTTTAGGGCTACAATGCGTGTAAGAAAGGCTTATGACAGTGTCAAAAATATAATACACCTTAACAGGAGGTTTACTAGATCTTGAGGCCCTAGGCTTCAGGAAAATCTGGCTCTGCTAGGCACGAGATATGACAAACTGACCAGGGCAAAAACATCTCCTTATCTCTGCTCTGTTTCATGCATGAGCAGTACAAAATATAAGTTGAACACACATCAGATTTAAACACACCAACACTTTAATTCTTCACGAAAAATAAACAATGCCCGACTTTGAAAATTCACTAACTCTTTTTCTATAATTGTGTGATGGCATGCCTAAAATTGGTGTGGACAGTGGATAACCTATTTCATCAAGTTCTATTTTTCTTGCTTTAACAGTATCTAAACTTGTATACAAAATTCTTGGATATTTTACAACTTGTTTTGGGGGAAGGAAGCATTCTTTATAAAGAAAATCAAGCATAGTGTTCAGTTTTGACAGACGCATATTCCTTAACTGCGCCATATTGTCAGTTTGGAGATCCTCATCTGTACACTGAAGTCTTAATTTGATATATTCTTCACGAGTTTTACAGCTATATTTATCTAAGATCTCTTGAACCTTAACAAATTCGGATACAACTTTCTTAAAATGCTCTTCGTTAATTTCACGAAAAGCTGTCAAAAACTGTTTCTCATTACTGAATTTGAGGTCGTTTAGTTGTTGTATACGTCTCTCGATAGATTTAGTGCGGAAAAACGCTATCTGCGGACATCTCATTATGTCTCTGGGCTTAATATAACCACTGTCGAAAAGGAGATCAAGGTTTTTATCCAACTTTGTGTAGTTCCGAAAACTCAGAAAAATTGGTTTCTTTTTTATCAGATTTTCAATATCTTCCGAAGAACAGTTGAATCGTTGGGCTAGATATTCTTGTTTGGTTTTACCTCTTAAGACCTGCCAGTCCACTAATTTTGTGTCAATAGTTCGTCTGAATTGTTTGAGTTTATTCCTTGGAAGCAAGATTAGGTCCTCAAAAGTTTTGTCTGTCATTTCTTCCAATTTATGCAGATCATTTTCATTTATTTCCGAGTGGTCATGACGATCTTTCACTTCCTCTCTAATCCACTGTTTCAAAAGTGTCAAATTCTCCTCAACGCCAACTGGATGTTTTCCGAATATACTGCCTGAACGAAAGATGACATCTCGAGTCACAAACTCCTCAGCCAGAACAGTGTCAAGGTTTTTCTTCAAAGTTTTTATACCAGGCAGCAGAAACTGGGGTTGACGTTCGCACAACTTATTAATCTTGTGAATCGAACAATTTAAGCGAAAAGCGAGAAATGTTTTCTTTTTATCCTGAACACTTGTTCGGTCATCCAGTAACTTTTCTAAGTGCTTTTCTGGATCTTTGCAGAAATCAATGCCATAAACCCATAAATAGTCCAAACGTTTTTGAAGTTCATAAATCGTTATTCTCATAACAGAAAATTTATTTTTTATTGCAGAGAGTGGAATATTGTAACTTTGAAGTATATCTATTTTAATTGCCAGGGTCGTCTGGCGCGTCTGTCTTAATGCATAACCATTATCCACTCTGATCAAATCAACCAAGCGTTCCGCTTCATCTGTTCCAATTTTAAAGAGATCTGACAAATATCTAACCTCATCAGAACTTGCTTCACAATCTGTTGGCACAGTCGAAACTGGCAGTTGGCTTCTAGTGATAGTGTCAGTGTGAGCTTGTTCAACTCCTGAAGTTGCAGAAAAAGTTAATGACTTCACTGAATTTGGTTGGAAATTCAATCTGTTAAAAATAATGTTTAGTACTTGTCTTTGTGCAGAAAGTTCAATACTCCTTAAACCAAGTGAAAATTGCAGAATTCTTCTTAAGACTGACATGCTGTCGGAATTTATTTGGTCGCTTACAAAATCAGTGCATTTTTCGAATGAATATATTCTGACTTCTATGTTTCCCTTTTTTTTTACACGGTGTGTCAGAATAAACCATAAAAATATCTGATAAATTGCCATTTGACAAAAATTAATTTTGCTGGTGTTTGGTGCATTTTAAATGTACAACTCGGATTCACAGACATTTCTCTCAACTTTCTGAACCATTTTTGTTATTACGACCTTCACCTTAAAATGACAGGCACCTGCTTCCGGTTGACGTTTGAAACACCCGTATGTAAAAGAGGCTCGAGTCAAAATGGCTAAAGGTTTGTATCTTTTGCGTTTAGATAACCGTTTTCTGCAATAGATAATCATTTGTTAGTTTTACAAACAGACGCACTTCATAACTAAAGCTCTTAGGACCCGATGGGAAATTGCATTTTCGGTGTACAATTCGTATGTTTTTAATAATTTGTATTCACCGGCGTTATGTTATGAAGTCGGCCATTGCTTCCCCTTTGCCACGTGTAAATCGCTGGTTGATGCACGTTATAAGTATGATTCTATCATGTTTTCGCGTAAAATTCTAAATAAAATCTATAGATTAACCGTTAGCGAAGTTTTGGCATAATTATTGGCCGATCTGAATGTGATTTCTTGTTTGTCAGTGTGATATTTTGATTGTTACTGTCCGTGGAAATTGACTTCGCTTCGGCTTAGTCAACAGAGAGAGAGAGAAATGGGGTATAACATCCACTCAACACAGACTAGGTCATTTCGGACTAACATGGTTTAATTTTATTTCAATAATTCGCTTGCGTGTGGGAGGAAACCAGAGGACCTGGAGAAAACCCACGAGGTTGGACAGGCAACCCTACTCCTTGTCACATACAACTGGGGATTCGAATCAATGACAGCATGCAGGTGCTAACCATTTGCCCCCCCCCCCCCCCCCCAGTCAGTAGCTCTGGAGAATCCATATTATCATTCATTCATCCCACAAATATAAAATTAAGCTGGCCTTTCTTTTTTGGTATTGTCTATTGATGTCATGGATGAACGTAGATAAGAAACCTCATCTCCCAACCATAAATGTTTTGAGATAAGAGATGGTACTACATTATATAGTTTTACCTGACAAAACCCTATGCGAATCGCATTGACATTCAAACAGCAAAACTGCCAATTTTTTCTTCAAAACAAAGATTGATTATTGTTATTTATAACATTTCTGCCACATCCAACTATAATTAAAGATACATTAGTTCAGAGTTTAATAAAGAGTTGGCCATTCTTGCCATAATAATTCAAAAATAGATGATAAAAAAAGAAAATACCTGGTATTGAAAATTTCAGTCAATTACTTGCCACTGTTGGAAGTTTGGACTAGAAATAGGCATCAACTGTGTCGCACCATCTACGAGAATTGCCGATCGTGTGATTGACAGACGATAACTCCACTCACATATTCTCGATTATCAAGTTTTGGTAGCATGTTTTGCCAGATATTTCTGAGATATTCCTATTTGCAGATACATGTATCTAGGCCTGATTTCTGTCATTGATATAATTCACTTAAATATTATCTTTTCAGCTTTTTCAGTACTTCTTCTTTTTGCCGTTGTTGTGGTGGGAAGGGCCTTAACTCCGTCCACATTCCTGACAACTCTTGACCAAGCCAGGTTAAAGTCTGTCTTTGAGGGAGCTCAACCATACAGCGATGTAGCCAATGCACATTATTCTATTTTGGGTCTGACTCTATTAGGAGCCACCATACCGAATGCTCAAGAAGCGTGCAAATCTTTGTCCGAGAAGTTGGACCAAAGTAATGTAGCTTCATTATATCATGCTGCATCTGCCAGCCAGTATTTAACCAAGTGTAAAGTGAGTATCATATAATTTTAAAAGATTTTTGGGGGGTGGGGGGATGCTACATGAATTTTATGCCCCTTAATGATCGAATAGATAAATGACAAATATATATATATATAGACTTTAAAGATGGGTTCCCAGAAAAGTATTTATCGGGTGGCTATTTCCAATAAAAGTATGGCAATTTTGGTATATATGGAAAGTAGAGATATCCAATCTTACTAGAAAAATACTGGATTCCCCGAAAAACATTCATGGAGCGTATACAGGACAAAAATGTAAGGGTTCCCCTAATCAATAGCCCAACGATTAGGAACTTCCGCATGCGTGATGTCAAAGGTCACAAGCGAACATTGAGCGCTTGATGTATAAGTTGATAAACTTTATGAAGAGTTAGATGTACAATACTTTCTGAGATAAAAATGACGGAAAAAGACGCTGGTAGTGGATAATCCGAGAATTTAATAAGGATTCGATATTTGGAATAAATAGTAAGCGATTAAAGACAACATCGTCTTATGTATGCTGACGTAAACATGACCTGGTTTGATCGAATTTTAATAGCAGGGCATTCCTTCGCAATTACAATGTTTGAGAAGGATTTGAAGCATAATTATGACAAATTAATTAGTTTGAATATTATTTTGGTCCATATATACCATTAAATCACCCAGTTTGTACATGGGAACCCATCTTTAAATCATACACAACAAAAAAGTCTTGCCAAAGAGAAATTTGGTCCAAACATGATTAAAATTGATCAGTCCTATCCTAACCTTGGTTAAAGTGATCTAAGGTGACTTTCTGTTCATATCAAGGTCATCTTCATCTCTCAACACCTGAATGATAAATATTTCTATTCATGAATATCTGAATCAAGATAGTTTCTAACCTTTGTTTACTGTTTTAATCGTGTAATATACTATATAAAGAAAGCATTAAAGCCATAGTTTTCTGTTAAAATTTAAATAAGAAAAATACTGACCATCCGCCTCAATGACAGCAAATTACCTGTTAGTCAAGATGTGGAATATAGTGGCTATGTGCAGGGGATTGAGGGTGTGAAAGTTGTGATCACCCAGAAATATATAAATAATAATGTACTTTCTATTACAGATAAATGTTGGTGGAGGTGTACAAAAATTATTAGACGACACCATCCGAGAGGATGCCAATGTTGTAGATATCTTTAATGCATTTTTTGCCCTGAAAAAACTGGGTTTAAAAGGTGAGCTACATATTGCTTACAATGACATGTATTGTTTTGTGAAGGACAGTGTCTAGCAAACGAGTCCCATATACACATTGGCGTGCACATAAATGAACCCTAACAGTTAGGATTCAAAATTTATAAGAGTAGGCTGTAGCTTCGATGTCGGTGCAAAATTTCCTCTAAGCACACTTTATGGCCGTCTTCATTAGCCCAGTCAATGCTGAAAAGTAGGATGTTAAACCCCATTTCATTTCTTTAAATGTAGTTTTATCTTTAGTAGATAAAGAATTTGTTAAATAATTTTTATTTTCAGTTGATAATACTAAAGTAAATAAAGCTTTACAAGAAGCCTTAAAAAAAGATGATTCAGCCTTGAGGTAAATACTTTAAACATACATTATGCAAGAGCTAAATCTGTCTATTGCAGGTCTTTCTTTAGGCCTGAAATGTTATCAAAATTATTAATTAGACATTAATTAACCTATCCAGACCATAATCAACTCTAGATGGCATCGCTAGCCGGCAATCTTTAGTGGATTGTGAGTCGATTTATTACATAACTTTCTTTCACAATTTAACGATAAACTGGATAATCGAGACTATGCTGTTTATCGTACTGACTTTAGTAATGATGATCAAGGCTAGCCGGAAATTTCAACCGCTTAGTTCTCGGTTCATAGTGGATCAATTTGAATGAAATTTTCAGCAAATTGCCTTTACATTATCTAGTTTTTAACCATTATAGTGAGAACTGCCAACTCTTTATCGAATCTCACATAATGTATAATTAAATTCTTTCTATGTTGGGCTTATTAGTGGGCCTGAAAAGCCCCAATTTACATTTAATTTTCAAGCAACAATTATAAAATAATGATCAGTGCTCACATTTCAAGCAACAATTATTAAACATAAAAAATCCAAGAACACATAGAACCTTTTCCCCGTAGTTTTGACTATTAAATTGCCAGCTATCGGTAGACACAGTGGCATTTTGAGAAAGGTGCTGGTTTGCTAACATGGAAGTCCATTGTTCAATCCTGGAGCTGGTCAAATAAGTTTTTTGGGATTTTCTGGCATGGTTTCAACGTTTTATTGGTGTAGGAGTGAGGAAAAACCAATGTCCTGTGTACACATTGTCGTGCATGTTAAAAGAACCCTTGAGAGTTGGAATTTGAAAGAGTAGCCGAAGTAGTATATCATTTCATCCAGCTATGGTTTGTGTTTAAAAATAGTCTTTCCTGAATATAATTAAATTTGTTTTGTTTTAGTTATGGTTATTCGTTTCTCATAGCCACAGAATTAAGTGGTGATGTTACAAAATATTTTGATAATATTGAAGATGTTGTCGCACAAGCAGATGAATTAGATGAAAAATATTTACAGGTAAGTCGTATGTCCATATATTGAACCAAAAACCATGACTGTGCCTTTTTTTGACCTGAATCAAAGAGTCAGTAACTGTTATTCGAATCAAAGAATCATTAACTGTTAATCCAAGTGACATGCTGATTTCTAGCATGATGATATCCCAGCTATTTGCAGAGTACTGAAAGGAGGAAGTAATTTATATTTTATATTAGTTTTGACAAAGATGTATAGTCTAGAAATAAATTCAAAACTTGGTAAAATATTAATTTGCTTGATAAAGATGAGAGTATCATTGTCGAAACGTTGCATGTTAATAAACCAGTAATTGTTATTCCATAAATAGTTGTCAGTGTGAAAATATTAATTGTTCTGTGATGAATTCATGTACAATGTATGACACGTGTATGTGACCAGGATAAGCTTCACATGTTTATCTTTGTGTATTTTCTTCATGTATTTTTAGCCTTTTGACTTCTAGTTTGTTAGGTGTCTTCTAATATTTCAAGATTAGCTTATTTCAAGATATCAAATTTTTAAGATTTGAAATGTTTAATATTTCAAGATATCAAATTTTTAAGATTTGAAATGTTTAATGTTTTAATATTTTTAGTTTGAAGGAGGATTGTATGTATCTTCATTAGTTGTAGATTCCGCTTATAAACTAGCTACAAAATTAAACAAAGCACCAACAATATCAGCAGTAAGTATTCCTTTATATTTTATACTCTTCTTAAAGGGACATAATGCCAGAATTAAAGTTGGCTATAAAGTTAAACTGAATTGACATAAATAATAAGATCAGAAGGGAATCAAACATAATATTAATGAGGCCCGTCATATCCTTCTCTTGTCTTAAATATGTGGCTTCTTATTAATTATAGGGGGGTTGGATGGCTGAATGGTTAGCACGTGCGTGCTGTATCATAAAGTCTGTCATTGAGTCAACTAGCGTGGTTTCGAATCCCCGGTTGTACGTGACAAGGAGTAGGATCGCCTGTCCAACTTCGTGGGTTTTCTACGGGTCCTCCGGTTTTCTCCCACTGCTAAAGACCCCTACGCGCAAGGGAATTATGGAAATAAAATTAAACCATATGTTAGTCCCGAAATGACCTGGTTTGTGTCGAGTGGACATTAAACCTCATTTCTCTCTCTCTCTCTCTTATTAATTATAATAAAGACATCATTTACCAGAAGGTGGAAAGAGGGGCTTGGCCCAGAATAAAATGATAGAAATTGAAAAAAACACTTATCTTTGCTTTTATACATGTAGTGTCATACATGTAGTTGAGTGGATGTAAAATGCCATTTCTCTTTATGTCCTTTTACCAGATGAGGACATCATGGTTATCAATGTCTTTGTTATTGTTTTGCGGGGTGTTATGTTTGAGAATACCTTGGATCTATTCTAGAGAACAAAAATGCATATGGAAACTAATGTAATTGAAAGATAGCATACAAAATATGAAAAGTGTTGTTTACATATCAAATTGAAATAATGATCATACAAAGCCTAATATGTTGCTGTAAATTAATTGTGTTCTTGTTATTTTTCGTCCTTTCAAACATACATTATGCAAGAGATAAATCTGCCTATCGCAAGTCTTTATTTAGGCTTCAGATGTTATAGAAATTATTAGACATTTATTTACACGACTCGCTCAAAATCAACTATGTAGACCCATGGATGCCTTGGATACAGTTTGGATTTAAACAGTTGTCCATTATATTAATAAATGGGGGACCAAGCTAACGTTTACCGTTAGTCGCTGGTGTCACTACTGGAAACTGGCGATGAAAGGCCTGCCAAGTGCGGCTACCATAGCCATTGAGCATGTTACTTGATAATCGAGAATATGTGGGTGGAGTTATCGTCTGTAAATCAAACGATCACCAATTCTCATGGACGGTACAGACACAATTGATGCCTATTTCTAGTCTAAACTTCCAACAGTGACAATTCCGTTCACAACAAAGTAATTTGACTGAAATATTCAACATTTTCTTTTTTAATCATCTATTTTTGAATTATTATAGCAAGAATGGCCAACACTTTATAAAACTCCTAACTAATGTATCTTTTCAAAAAGATGACTTTTCCTTTAATGTGTTTCTTTACCTTACAGGATAAAGTGGTTAAATTCACTAATTATTTCTTGAGTCGTAAACATATTCATCAGTTGAGAGCTGCTGCTTATTTCTTATCTGCTGTCAAATCATTGACAGAAAACAAAGTAAGTTTAAATTGATTTAAATCTTCTGTGGTCTTGCTATTCTTTGTCTTTTGGCAAAATGTTTTAAATGTTACAAAGAATGGGGTCTTCTGTCTGATCCCACGCTTCAAAAGGACAAACCACTACTATATAAAGTACACCTCATATCATCTCACTTCATGTCTTCATTGGTCAAGGGGGGGTTGAATGGGGCGAGCTTGGGTGGCCGAATGGTTTAACGCATGCATGCAAGATCTCAAGTTCTAACATTGAGTCGAGGACATGTTTTGATTCCCCGCTTGTACACAACAAGTAGGGTCGTTTGTCAAACCTCATGGGTTTTCTCCCACAGCTAAAGACCCCAATGCACAAGCGAACTATAGAAACAAAATTGAACCATGTTAGTCCCAAAATGCCCTGGTTTGTGTCGATTGGATGTTAAACATGAGCTCTCTCTCTCACAGAATAGTAAGAGGTTAAACTTTCATTTGTGGGTGGGGGGGGTGATGGCCGAATGGTTAGTACGAGTGCGCTATCATAAGGCCCGTCATTGAGTCAACTGGCGTGGTTTCGAATCCCCGGTTGTACATGACAAGGAGTAGGGTCGCCTGTCAAACTTTGTGGATTTTCTCCGGGTCCTCCGGTTTTCTCCCACTGCTAAAGACCCCTATGCGCAAGCACATTATTGAAATTAAAAAAATTAAACCACATGTTAGTCCCAAAATGACCTAGTCTCTCTCATTTGAACATATTTTAAATAAGATGTATATTTTGTTTATTAAAGTTCCACGTGCCTGTTGCTGTTACATTAGCCAGTCCTGTTGCTGTCACACAATCTGAACCCTTAATTCAAGTCCGTGTAACAAATTTGATGGGAGGATCCCTCGGTAGTTTAACTGTTACTGCTGATAATGCTAAAAATATTGGTGAAGGATCAATTGTTCTCAATAAGAAGCCTTTTGTTGTCAATTCTAAAGACAAGTAAGTTAGAACAGTAATGTCTGTTGTATCTGGGAGTTCCAGAAGATGTTATGCATTACTTGGGAAGTAAAATGTATACCATGATTTTGGGCAAAGACGAATGGCATCATTGGTTGTTGAGTGGTCAAGGAACTGTATTCAGGCTAGAATGTCTCTCACTCAAATCCATGTATGGTCTCACAACCTTTGGGATGTAAAAGAATTCCAAGAAAATTAGGTGACAAAAGTCTGATGTCTGGGCAAAATTCTGCTCCCTAACAAAGAAAAATAACCTGTATGTTATTCTCGAAATGACTGAAAGTATTTAGTTGAGAAATTCTGATGCATATCCTATTCTATCTCATCTCATCGTCTTATCACATTGACATGCACATAAAAGATCCTTTGACAGTTGGAATTTGATATAAGAGTAGCCCGTAACGGCACTGTCCGGGCAAAATTTCCCTCATAGCACACCGCAGGGTGTATATCCGTCTTCATTAGCCCAGTCGAAGTAGGACGTTAAACACCATTTCATTTCTATATAAATAATGCCTGTTCAACCTCGTGGGTTTTTCCCATATTTCCTCCCACTGACAAAGACCCCTACATGCAAGTGGATTATTGAAATAAAATTGAACCATATGTTAGTCCCGAAATGACTTGGTTTGTGTCGAGTGGACGTTAAACCCCATTTCTCTCTCTCTCTATCTCTTTATATAAATGATATCTCAAACTGGGTGCTGTATAATGTTTACACAATGAACTCTGTGTAATATAGTAGATTATGAATTATATACTGTATTTCAGATCATTATTTGAGTTAAATCTGATACAAGCTAAACCAGCTAAAGGTTTCTATGAATTAACATTAAGTGTTAGTCCAGCTAAAGCTGATAAGAGATTAATTGGTACAACTGGCGCTGTGGTAAGTTCTAAATTATCATGTGTCCTTGATCGTATCAAATGCCATTGTTTTGAATATATAAAGGAGAAGCTTAGCCTTTCCAGATTCTTTATTTATTATGCATTGAAATAGTGTCAACCATGCTTAATCCAGAGAATGTCCTTGATCACACCCTATTTAAAGGAGAAACTTGGCTGTTGCAGAATCTTTATATTTTATTCATTTAGTATTGAAATAGTTTCGACCATGCAAAACTCAAAGTACTGATTGGTTTGCCTTTACTTAGTTATGTACAAGTTATATATGAAACCATAAGACTAACTTGACTTGCTATGTATTCACCCAGCCAGCATACAGAAAAATATAGAATTTTACATTTCAATTGATACAAATGTTGAGGTTATTGTCTCTTACACTGAGCTGGATCAAAGTCAAATATATTGTTTACATGTTTCAGAGTATATAATTATAAAGGTTGTATATTTAGTTGTTATGGGAACTTTCCTTAATGGTCATGGATTTTTATTAATGCCTTTTATTTGTTTTTGTTTTGTCGTATTTGTTAATTCTAAGGCCATGACCTTCCATTTTGGGTGTGGTTTCAGATTAAAATGTGTATTATAATTTTTCTCCCAACTTATTATAAGTTGACTAAAAATATCTGTGCTGTCACATCTTGAAATCATTTTTGGTTGAGAAAATTTGGATAAAAAACACCATTTCATTCATTCTTATTTGGTGGTGGGATTCTGGTCATTTGGAAAAATTCTTAAAGAATTCATTTCTGTAAGCATACCCTGAAGTATGGGGGTGAGGGGGGCTCTGTTGATGAGCAATGTGAATAACAAATTCAATTACAACATAATTGATACCCTATAAAATTGGGGATACACTTATACCCCCTTATTATTATTATAGACTATGTTAGTCTTTAGTGATGAACAGTCACCAGGTTTTGTTATCAATAACGTTTTATGTATGGTATATCAATTTGCGTAATGGACACAAAAATTTCCTAAGTTAATAGAAACAACCAAATAATCAGAAGTGTCATTAATGTCAATGGTGTATTTTAATATGTCAATCAGAATGTGTGAGTATATTAATTAACTTATATTATTTCACAGGTGAAAGTGAAAGTAACAACACAAGTAACATTAGAAGGTGTAGAAATCGGGGTAGCTGATAAAGATCAATCATCAGCTCCCAGAGCTGTCAAGTAAGTTTAACTTTCCGACGTGGTTTCCCCTTGTCAGTGGTGCAGGACGGAGGGTCTGACAAGGATAGCTGTCTAGTCATTCGGATGGGACAAAATGCTGAGGTCCTGTGTATACATTGGTGTGCATGTAAAAAATCCCTTGGCATTTGGAATTGATATAAGAGTAGGCCCCAGTGCCGCTGCCCGGGCAAAATTTCTCTCATAGCACTCTGTATTGGCGTATGCCCGTCTTCATTAGCCCAGTAGGAGCAGAACAGTAGGACGTTAAACCCCATTTCATTTTGGTAAGTTTAACAGAAAGGGCACCTTTATAAAGAGGCATTATAACTTGGGTGACACCTCGTCAAATTGGTCAAATTGGTCTGTGAATCAACTTTTTCTATTTTATCTTTATACTGTATTTGGCTACTTAATGGGTTTTCGATAAAGGGGTGATTGTAGGGTTATTATACACTCATATTTCAAACTTACTTGGATTGGTTTGTTGAAATTAATTGCTTGTATTGTTGTTGTCCTTAATAATAGTAATTACTAATTCTGGTTCTGTTTGTGATGTCCTGAACATAATCTTTAATTTAATGTTCATTAGAAGTTGATTCCCGTAGCTGTCATTACTGTACCCCAGGTATCATTTAATCTTGTGCATTTAACATTAAACAAAATTGAATGGTCAACTTTAAACTGGACACAAGTATAAATTAGAATGATTTTTGGTGATTTCTAATGATTTTCAAACATAGTTTTTATATTGAATGAATGTTATAAGAAATTAATGCTAAATACACAATATTAAGGAAGAACGCGGGTCGAAAAAAATTGAATTTTCTAAAAAATTTCACTTTTTAAGTAATGACAGTTTTTGATAGTTTGAAGCCTTCTCTTTGAGTCCCCAAAAACAAAATATCAAAAATTTCGGTTTTTTTATGTAAAAAAGTACATTTTCTGTCGAATGGTAAACATTTCTGAACCTGTACATGTCCGAATTTTGATAAAATAACGTCTAATAAATCCCGATTTGAAGCCTCCACATGTCCATTGACAGCCATGTTTGATATACCGTTGGAAAGAGTAAACAAAGAATAGCATGATGGGAATAGAAATAATTTATTAATTCCCGTCAGTTTCCGTGTGTACTCGTTTTTCTAAGCGCCAAAAATGCTCGAGAATTTCCTTATTTGGTTAGGTGACCTGATCGCGGGGTCAATATATCCGACGTAATAACAACGACATCTCCTCATTGGTCTAACGGAATTCCGTCACCTAGCAACGGGATGCCGTGATGCGCCCACTATATAGACACAGTTAACCACTCTTTTTTGTATAACAATATTACTTTATAAGAAGTCCAACACTACGATCGATGTCCCGCAAGCTTATTTAACGATATTTACCGATGAATTTAATAGTTTTTTTTAATTATTTCTAATAAACCGTGATTAAAAAAAATAAAACATTTTATGGGAATCGTAATTTTTATAGCCGTGTCCAACTTTGTCGACCGGTAATTGTTTTTAGTCTTGTTTGTTATGACCCAAATAAAACCATTTAGTAATAGTATGATTTACTTTTTGATGTGATTTTTCTCTGATTTGATTTTTTGGACGAAAATGCAATTTCAAATTACTAGATCTCAAAAAGTTACTAATATTTTTACTTGAAATTTGCAACAGTTATAGATTAAAGTCTTTTGAATGAGATAACAGAGAGTTTTTGTACTTACTGTTTTTATTTTTGTAAATAATTCAGTTTTTAGTTCATGTTTCGTTAAAACAAATCACACAATTATATAAATGCTTATAAATTAATAAAAATACAGTGGACTCCAAATGTCTCTCTCTCATTTCCTAGCTTTATGCATTGTTTATAAGGTGTGAAAGTTTCAGAACTGTAGAGTTATTATTAACAGAGATCTAGCACTCCTACGAATTTCCCCATTTTTTCTTGATTCGTTGGTAACCATGGCAACCAATGTCTGATTTGGGATCTGATGAAAAAAATCAGCTAACTAAATGGTCTTTCTAGTATATACAAAGTTTCAACCCAAAATAACATTAAATAATAAAAAAAAAAATTCGCCCCTCGTTCCCCCTTAAATAATTACCTGGGTTACAGTGCATTGTGTTGACTATCATCTATTTCAATAAATAAATGACTTGACACTGTTCAAGTGATATATAATGTATTTCTATATTTATAGATTAAACTATCCTAAACCAGCAGCTAGTACATTAGAAGCTGATTTCCATCAGAAGATCATCATGAAGTTTAAACTAGTAGAAAAAAATACAGCTCAACCTGTAGCAGCTCACCAGGTAAACCTCCATTTTATCTCTGCTTCAAAAATGTGAAATAACAATTTGTTAATGGATCTTTACCTGGGTTTACTGTCATCGATATGGTATTAAGTTCACTCCTATGTTACATGTTATAAAAAGGTTCAAAGGTTGCTTGCCTAAGCTTGTCCCTGGTGTCAATGTGTTGATATTTCAATTTTTATACGCGCACATTGAAATATTGTCCGTCTGTCGGTCCGGTGTCGACAATTGCATGTGGACGCTCTAGAGACTAAAGTTAATATCCGATTGACTTTAAATTTATACACAGTGTTTAAGGTCATGAGACGAAGAAGCCTATTGATTTTCAGCGATTTCAGATAATTACTGCCAGAGTTATAGCTCTTGATCACTTCAAAAAATCTTGTGGACGCTCTAGAGGCCAAAGTTAATATCCGATTGACGTTAAATTTATACACAGTGTTAAAGGTCCTGAGACGAAGAAGCCTTTTGATTTTCCACAATTTCCAATAATTACTGCCAGAGTTATGGACCTTGAACAATTCAAAATATTTTGTGGATGTTCTAGAGGCTAAAGATAATATCCGATTGACTTTAAATTTATACTCAGTGTTTAAGGTCATGAGACGAAGAAGCCTATTGATTTTCAGCGATTTCGGATGATTACTGCCAGAGTTATGGCCCTTGATCACTTCAGAAAATATTTTGGACGATCTAGAGGGTAAAGCTAATATCCGATTGACTTTAGATTTACACGCAGTGTTTAAGGTCATGAGACGAAGAATCCTATTGATTTTCAACGATTTACGATAATTATGGCAAAGTTATGGCCCTTGATCACTTTGAAAAATCTTGTGACACTCTAGAGGCTAAAAGTATCATCCGATTGACTTCAGATTGATACACAGAGTTTAAGGTCTTGAAACGAACAAGTATATTGATTTTCAATGAATTTTGATAATTTGAACAGCTAAATCCATGATAATTAACGTTAGCATGGGGCATAAGTTTATAGAAACCAAACAAATTCTAATGATTTTCTGATAATTACTTAATGAGTTGTTACTCTTAATCAGATTTTAGTGTATTATAAATGTTTCATTACCGAAAAAAGTGAAAAAAGTTGTATAATATGAATTGTAATTAGATATAATGTTTTATATCTTATATTTCAGACATTTGTACGTTTAACCAACCAAGATACTAAACAAGAAATTATCTTTGTATCTGAAGCTGATTCTTCTAATGTTAATAAATTTGAATTGGTAAGTTGTGTGTGTGTGTGTGTGTCTCTCTCTCTCTCTCTCTCTCTCTCTTGACAGTTTGATTATGAGCATTTAATGCAGCATTTAGTGTTTAACCAATTATGATTAAGAGTGATATAACTTGGTACATTGTTTTGTTACATCAATACACTCCACGATAATAGTGAAAGTTAAAGGATATCACTGTTATTAGATTTGTAAAGTGTTATAAGGCCTTGATAAGGACATGTATTGCCATAAATGGTTGTATTAAACAATTTAAGTGATAAGGAACGTACAAGTAGGTGGAAGTAACATCATTTATTTTATGTTAATAAATTTTATTTTGTAGGATGTTGGATCTCGTGGTAAAGATTTTGGTTTCCGATCTGGTAAATACAATGTTGAACTTATTATTGGTGATCCTGTTATTGAAAACCCAATCTCGTGGACACTGGTAAGTAATTGCTAAATGTTACAGGAGAGTTGGGTTGTCAAATGGTTAATGTGTGCATGCTGTATCATAAGGTCTGTCATTGAGTCAAGTGATGTGGTTTCAATTGTATGTGACAAGGAGTAGGATCGTCTGTCTAACCTCATGGGTTTTTTTTTTATCCGGCTCCTCCGGGTTTCCTCCCACTGCTGAAGACCCCTATGTGTTAGCAAATTATTGAAATAGGAAATAATATGAGTAATTATTAATAAAGACATGAATAATTGGGTAGACTTGGATAATGCGTATTGATACAAAATACTGTAATGTGGAATTCTTACTTCATACAGAAATATACCTTGGAGAATTATAGTATATATGGAAATATTTATTCTGAGCTCGATCTTAAATGATTATTGGTTGGGGCAGTGATTATTTATAACGAGCTGGGTCACCTGTCCAAACTTGTGGGTTTCTCCAGGTCCTCCAGTTTCCTCCCACTGCTAAAGACCCCTATGCACAAGCGAATTATTGAAATAAAGTTGAACCATATGTTAGTCCCGAAATGGCCTAGTTTGTGTCGAGTGGACATTAATCTCTCTCTAAGTAATTATTATTTTTAGCTTTTACCATTTCTGGAAACTCTGTAGATCACCATCCATAAACATTATAGTAGATATTTGGACTGTATGAAACTTTATTCAAATTGATCAAGTACTTTATATGGACAGCTGTTGAAATAGATTTACTTGAAATGTGTTTTATATTGAATTTTTGAATAATCAATAAAAGAGTATTGAATATATTGGGACATATAAATAGATATTCTAGTTCTCAAGATACTGCCACATCATACATGACTCATTTCCATTTTTATACACCCACATTGAAATGTTGTTGTCACCCTTGTCTATCTGTCAGTCATTCAAAATTACTTGTGGGTGTGTTTACTTATTAGGAAAACTTGTCGCTTTTAGAAAGAAGTTCTCACAATTGCGTTGTTTGAAGAGTGTGTAGAATTTTTAGTGCAAACGTGTCCTTGTCTAAAGAAAATCAGATAAACTTGAGAGAAAAACAGCTTCAGACTTTGAAATCTTTGTATGATAAAACATTCTTCAAAGGCGTCGTCATGGGCAATGCCGTTGGTAATCTGGGAACTTTGAAATAGTTCGTCATACAGCCGAGGCTAGATGTAGGGTTCTGGAGTCTGCTGAGGTTTGCAGCGTGAACCCATTTACACAAATGTTAAATATGTCCCTGAAAGTTATTTCGCCCAGGAAATGTTTTCTCCATGTTTGATTGACACTAATATCTATTTGCAGGCTACTTTATCATTAAGATTCCCAGAAGGTAGCTCCACAACTAAAGAATCCACAAATCAATATGCTGTGAAACCTGAAATTAAGGTATGGTAGATTTTCTTACAGTTTGATTCAGATCAATGGAGACCAGTTATTATTTAGTTGTATTATAGTTAATAGATAGTGAATTCCTGACTAAAACCATCTAGTTGTTAGGATGAGATGAAAAACCATGGTCCTGTGTGTACTTTCAGGTCTGAACTATAAAAAAAGATGTTAATATTGTTATTAACTTTAAAATATATAAAAATAAAGTGACTTTTATATTACAGCATCAATTTAACGTACCAGAAAAACGTCCACCAGCAGTTGTATCTCTAGCTTTCTCTGCTCTAGTTTTAGTTCCAATACTTGTACTATTTATTCTTGTAAGTATTATTATTGTAATGGTTTTTAAAGTATTGAATTTAGGGGGGTTGGATGACCGAATGGTTAGCGCATGTGCATTGTATTATAAGGTATGTAATTGAGTTAACTGGCGTGGTTTAGATTCCCCAGTTGTGCGTGAAAAGGAGTAGCGTCGCCTATCCAACCTTTTGGGTTTTATCCGGGTCCTCCAGTTTCCTCCCACTGCTAAAGAACCCTACGCGCTAGTGAATTATTGAAATAAAATTGAACCATATGTTAGTCCCGAAATGACCTAGTTTGAGTCGAGTGGACGTTAAACCCCATCTCTCTCTAGTACTACATAGGAGTAGGGTTGTCTATCCAACCTTGTGGCTTTTTTCTCGGCCCTACAGTTCTCTCCCACTGCTAAAGACTCCTACGTGTAACAGGGAGGATGGTAAAGTCATTTTTTGAAATTATGAATCTGTTTTTTTAGGAAAACATACTATTGATTATTTTATGTGTTTATTTTCAGTGGATTAAAATTGGTGTAAATGTTTCTAACTTCCCCTTCTCACTTAGTGCTATAGGTTTCCATGTTTGTTTAGCAGGTAAGTTTTAGCTTCTGTATGTTTATTGATGGAAAGTTACAATATTCAGTTCTCCCAAGTCTACAAACACTGATAGTAGCTCGCAACTCGGGTCTGCACCGTGTCATTGGAGCAGCCTTGCAAGGAAAGAACCTAGTCATAGGTGCACGGAGGGCCTGACAAGGACAGCTGTCTAGTCATTCGGATGAGACGAAAAACCGAGGTCCCGTGTACACATTGGCGTGCACGTAAAAGATCCCTTGACAGTTGGAATTCGATATAAGAGTAGGCCGTAGTGCCGCTGTCCGGGCAAAATTTCCCTCATAGCACACTGTATGGCGTATGCCCGTCTTCATTAGCCCAGTTCGGAGCAAAACAGTAGGACGTTAAACCCCATTTCATTTCATTTCATTTCATAGGTGCAAATTGCCACCTTGTTAATGGAACAGCTTTGCCAGGAAAGAAGCTAGTCATCTGAGGTCTACAGGACAGAGGGCCTGACAAGCACATCTGTCTAGTCGTTCGGTTGGGATGAAAAACCGAGGTCCCGTGTACACATTGACATGGACGTAAAAGATCCCTTGGCAGTTGGAATTCGATATAAGAGTAGGCGATAGTGCTGCTGCCCAGTCACTTTCTCTCATAGCACACTGTATGGTGTATGCCCGTCTTCATTAGCCCAGTCGGAAGCAGAACAGTACGACGTTAAACCCCATTTCATTTCATCTGAGATCTTGTGCATATTGGCACCTTGTTAATGGAGCAGCCTTGCTCGGAAAGAACCTAGTCATCCGAGCTCTTGTGCATACTATTAGCAGTCTTTTAAAGATTTTGAACTCTGTCAGGGCAAAAATTGCCATGGGATATTTGAGTATGGTTAATGGTGCTATATATAGGGGATATTCGAATCCGGTTTCCTCTAGTTATTAAGATGGGAAGAAACCAAGATATATGCGTGTACTTGTTGGCAGACATGTAAAGACCACGTAAAGACAGAATTTTATCAAGAGTAGGTGGAAAGGTTGCCATGGCAAAATTTCCCTTGTAGAACCTTGCATGGTTGGTTGCTTTCACTGCTTGTAGGTGACGAGGAGTAGAGTCGCCTGTCCAACCGTGTGGGTTTTGACCAGGTGCTCCAATTCGTTCCCACTGCTAAAGACCCAGCAAACAAACGAATTATTGAAATGAAATTTAACTGTATGTTAGTCCCGAAGTGACCTAGTTTGCATCAAGTTAAACTCTCTCTCCTGTTAGTGCACAAAATTAGTACATAGATCATATTTCCTTTTGTTTCCATTTTAATCTCTCAATGAATATAAATGTATATTATAGTTTAGATAAAATGAAATGTATATTTATATTTTCAGCTATATTTGGTTTATATTATTGTTATTGGACTAATCTAGATATGTTCCAGACATTACGATATCTAGGTATACTAGCAATACCTACATTCCTATTTGGTAATAGACTTCTTAGTGGTTTAGCATCAAAACGGTTAGTATTCATTATCTTTTAACAAATCTGTACTGTGTTACTACACTTGGGGATGAATTGTTAACATGTGCACGTTGAATCAGAAGGTCTAACCTTGTGGGTTCTCTCCCGGTCCTCCAGTTTCCTCTCACTGCAAAAGACTGCTATGTGCAAGTGAATTATTGAAATAAAATTGAACCATGTTAGTCCCAAAGTGACCTAGGCTGTCGAGTGGATGACATTGACATTTTTCTGGGTCCTTCAGTTCTCTCCCATGTTGAACCATGTTAATCCCAAAATGACATAGTCTGTGTTGTGGACATTAAACCCCCCTCCCCCCAGGATGAGGTAGGTATATGGTAGAAAACTAATTCTGGTTCATTATTGGCAGAAAACTATTCTGACCTGTACAGACTCATTAGTACTCCAATGAGGAAGCTGGTGGACCAAGAAAGATCTTAAATTAATTCTCGGGCTACTTGATAAAACAAAAAATAAAATCATAAAAGAGCGTATTTTGAATTTTATGTATCTTTATTAATCTTGTCATTTTCTTTTTCAGAAAAACAACATAATAAATTAATCAAGACAATTTTTTTTAAGAACTTTTTTTTTTTTTTTATATGTTTAATTTTTGGACAATTATAAACATATAGTTGTTATACTTCATGTACATTATCTTATTATATTATGTTGTGAAATTCCATCTCATGTTATTTTTATCAAAATGATCATTAAATTGTTCTTGTATCCAAAATCGGTTTTCTTTGTATGCTCTCATTTTAATACTCTCTAATTTTTTTTCAATTTGCAGGGTTGGGTGGTCTAGTAGTTTAACCTGCGTGTGGGTGAAATCTCAAGGTTTTTCCGTTGAGTCAGTTGGTGTGGTGTCGATTCCCCGCCTATATGTGACAAGGAGTAGGGTTGGGTTGCCTGTCAAACCTTGTGGGGTATATCCGGGTCCTTAGGTTTCTTCCCACTTCTAAAGACCCCTGTGCGCAAGCATATTATTGAAATAAAACTTAAACCATTTTAGTGCCAAAATGGCCTAGTTTGTGTCAAGTGGACATTAAAACCCCATTTCTCTCTCTATTTCAAATTTCTGGGATTTAGGCTAGTCATATTGAGGAACCCTATCTGAATTCAGTATCACATATCAATTTTGTGTAGTTAGTGCCCCCTGTTACTGAACTTGTAAACACTCTTCAGGTCTTGGAGATTTCTATTTTTTTAAACTTGAGATTGTTTGGTTTGAAGGCATCACAAGGCATGTCGCTTTTCTGAATAACCTGCTCTCTGGTCAATCGCATATAGGGAACGGCTTTTAATTTGGAGAATTTAGAGATCGGTTCTGGGATGACTAAACTTCATTTCCTATAGAATATGAACAGAAGTCTGAGGTTAACAAATGTTTCTAACCATGAGCAAAATCATGTGTTCTTTTTCCTTGCAAGTATTTTTCCCTAGCCACACAGTCATAACATAGAACATAATTTAACATTCGCATTTGGAAAGGGTTTTAAATCTCATTTGCACAGTATGTTTTTGAGATAGGCCTACATATTGTGCTATGAGAAGAATTTGGCCAGAAAGCGGTGTTTCCGCATATTCTTCAGTTTCCATGTTCCAAGGTTTCCCATCCCATCAGAACGAAACACCTCACACCTGGACACAAGCTCAAATACTGTACCCATTTATTCTCCAATGCCTGGTAATTATTTCAATAATTACAGCAATGTGGTCGTTTGTCGCCAACACCAATAACCATGTCCTCCTTACTAGCTGCACTTGAACCTATATCACTCCCTTGCTTAAAGTTACAATTTCATATTTTCTAAGAAAGTCAAAACATAATTATTTCTATGTCTTTTGCTCAATAGGTTGTCAACTCACTATTATACATCATAGGTGTCATTCTCACACTTAAAACTCATTTACACCGGAAATAATAACACAATTACCTCCCTTGTTTTCTATTCTCCACCATGGAGTAGTTACCTTCAAACGTTGGAATTTGAAGATGAAAATGATATCTTTGCCAATTTCTCAACTGGCAATAGTGAATTATAGGATTAATAGGATTATTCTTTAACAAGGTAGGACTGTTTATTGATACCGTCTATTTTAAGGCTTTATTTCAATAAATTTTAAAAATATGAAATTGCAACTTTAAGCTGCCCTTATATCCCAAATTTCACCCAGGCAGGGAGCAGCCAATGGTCCAATAAATATATAGATGCTTATGATGATATGCATGCTGTCTTTTTCTTGGGTGTTAAGTATGGTTTAAATATATTGAAACAACATGAGTGACCTAGTCACAAGTTGTTTCAATATATTACGCAATGTCTTAAGCTCAAGACTTCGGAGACCATTAAACAACTTATAATACAGACACTCGCACATGCTTTGCAATGAAATACGTCACACAGGTCTAAAATTTTAACTAGGATAAATAATGTACACTTGGCACATTGCCCGTACCATTATTTGAAATAATGATACACCAACATCAAATGATGATGTCACATCTGTATTTTAAATTCTGATAACAATACACATTAATGTATGATATAATATTTATTCATGAATATTGCCGCATTTACAATAATTGCATTTAAATGTGTTATATATTTTTGAAGGATATTAAATCGTTAAATGCCTAATTTATATAAGCTACATGCAGTAAGCTGGATCTGGAATGTTTTATTTTAATTTCCCCACTCTTGTCATGAGAATTATGGCCGACAATCAACTTAATCTTCAAATTTATTATCAATCTGTGAACTTATTGATAAAAAGTTTCATTATAATCAAATATTACTGCCTTATAATTGGCTGAGAGTTAAAGAATCAATCAGTATTTAAAATTTCAGCCAATGAAAATGACCATCTTTAGCATAGTATGGAACATTTTAAGTAAAATTTGGTTTAGGGTCAATAATAAACAGGTATTTTTCTGTATTCTTTTGGAACAATACAGTCCAATCTAATCCTTCACAATTTTGAGTTTTCACTATTTTTTAACAGCCATTTTCTCATGACAAGCACTAAATATCTATATAAGTTTCTATTGGTTAAAATTCTATGTTACTATTTGAGCACTCTACATAATAATTTAATAAAAGGAAGAGATTGTTTATATTTACATTAGGTTTAATTTATAATACAATTTGTTGGCCTGTAAAATGTAATAACACTCATGGTTTCTTATTTGGAAAGAACTCTGAACAGAAATTCAATGAAACAACCCCCCTGGCAATGTCCAATATTTCAAAACTAAGAAATAGTAAGAAACATAAAAGGCTAATGCACAACTGGGATAATTTATTACATGTTTTTAAATATTCAAATTTGTCAGTCATTTTTTTCTTGAAAGAACATGAACAAATTTTTGTATTGCATTATCCCAATTTATAAATCTATTTTAATATGACTTGTCACAGATGAATTTGCTGTAGACAAAAACTCGCTTTTTTAAATGACAAACTACATGTGCTGTCCTTAACAAGACAATGGTCCTAATTTCAATATTAACCAATTAATGTCACAGTTTCTTATGATTTACCCTTGTTTTGAGTGAAATTAATCAAATCTGCAAAAAATATATAGACTTTATTCACAATAATTCTTCTGTTAGAAAATAATTTTTTAACTATCAAATCAAATTGATCAAAGAAATGTTTTACACACTTTACGAAAGTTGACCATACAATATATTTAAATGGAATAATAAATTTAAAGCAGCTGATCGTCATTTGCATTGTTCAGACAATATTTTAAATTTTCACAATATCTCGGAGATTAAAAAGATGCCCCAACAAGAGATTTTAGCTAAGATTATAGGTGACAATGGCCTGTTTGGCCATATCTTGTTTATAAATTGTCTGCAGGGGATGTCCAATCTTGAAAAATTTTCAATAGATAATAATATCTTTGTAAATACAAAACAGAATTAAACAATTTTTTGACTAATATTTCGTGAAGAGTTAGAGATTAAGTTTTCATAATATTGTATATTGTAGTTTGCAAGGGATTGAAAATCACTCAAATGACGATCAGAGACATTAACTGAACTGATTTAATGAAGTTACAACTAAACAGATGTTGAACACACAAATAGCTACAAAAAGAAAACGGAACATAATATAACATCATACACGTATAATAGGGTATATACAAGTGCAGTACATGTATATAGAAAACAGACTATATTTTAGTTACTTTTTGGGAAAGCTAACTCTAGATTTGGCAGTAAGATAAGCTTAATATTAATAACACCAAATTATTTTGTTTACTAAATAGTAAATATTTGTCAGATTCTATTTCTTGAAATGCGGTTACTTTTCAGTCATAATCACTATCAGAGAGAGAGATATAGTAATTTTATGACAAAAACAAACTTGTGAAAAGTGCTGGGACAACTCTGTGAAAATACAAGACAGGGTAGGCAGCAACTCTATTTAAAGGTGCATCTGTATCCCCATCCCACTTGTTGAATTCCTATACCAGTCCATGTGTCTAAACCTAGTTATAGTACAAGCAACTGTGATCTCACTAAAATAGGCTAGAACGGTCGTATAATTTTACTAATGGAAGAAAACCGATTTATAAAGTTTGTAATTCATAGTTTATGAGCATTTCTCATAATTGCACTTGTGTTGATTGACATTTGCCATATACAATAACATCAATAAAGAACAGACTGTGAGCATAAGCCCACAGAATTTGGGTATAAGCTTGCCTATTAGCATTTGGTTTCGAATATTCTTCACGCCCAGTCTTGAGTCCGGAATATTTTTTGTTTTACGGAAATATAGATTAATAGTTTTAGTTATATTTTTTTAGAAGCAGGCATCAAATTTTGATTTCCAAATAGTATGGCTAAAACAGTAGTTATAACTTTGATTAATAGTATTAAACAAGCATATAGATTTCATAACAAGTAATATTAGGCCTTACTAAAATAAACCATTGTTCAACAAATCTTTTTAACCAAAAATGAACAGTTTTCAATATATTTCTTTTGGACATACATTCGGTGAACTCGTATATATACGGTGGTCGTGTGATAACAAATTACTAAAATGATGTAATATTATTTTCACCACAAAAATCCAAACAGAAAAAAAATGCCACCTTCATTGGATTTAGAACAAATTATATTTTTAGCTTGGCCTTATACAGATTATAGAGTTATATTCATTTCACAATAACAAATACATATGTAACATAACATAAATAGCAATTGTTAGCTTTCATACATTTAACAATCATAACAAAATTAATGGTTTTAATTGATTTAGGTCAAAACTAAAACAAAATTCCTGTCTAAATTTTAGTAAGTGATAGTTGTTAAAAATGCCTTGTAATTTACGTTCTAAAATTATATATACCCTCTATTTAGGTATATGAAATTTCAAAAAAGTAATATTGTAGTAAAATATTCAATTTAGGTGTACATAAATCTTTTGTATCCATTGTGAAAGTTAAACATGGTCATTAAGACACTTGATGATCGTGTCTCTAACCCTGCTACTTGATTGGTCCACAGTCGTCACTCCTTAATATCAAGCAGGGAGGGCAATGGAGGTCAGAGGTCATTTTTAACCAACACCCTTGAAATTCATTTCATAAGCCTATTTCATCAATCAAAATTTGCTTTTACATTTATTTATTACATATAAGATTTAATTAAATGAAGATTTGTGTGTACCATACTTCAAAGTCTTGATTTCCAAAATTTCAAGATGATATTTTCAGATAATAAGATTTAATTAAATGGAGATTTGTAAATCAAATATTTTTAATTAAAGCCTTAAATCCAATAAATCACATTTTCCTGGTCCTGTACAAAACCTAGATATTACCTATATCATTCATTACCTAATTGTAAAATTTTCACTAAATATACACTAAACTTTCAAATTTACAAATATGTGAATACAATACAATTTCGCATGTTGACATGTTCACAAAAAAAAACCCACTAAAATTAGAATGACATTTTCACAACAATATTTGTCATTTGCAAACATAATTTACATTTTTTTTTCAGAAACTAGGATTTTTTTCCTTGGCCTATTATAATTCTATATACATGGAACATTTACGCAAAAGAAAAACAAATCTCTTTAAGAATTTTCCAAAATAGTGGATACTGTATAAGTGTCAAATTTCATTTTAAAAACCCTGGTGGAAATAGTAATCTTTAATTCAAAGGAACTTTTTCTTCTGGTAGTGGGCCGGATGGGCTTGTAACTAAGGAAGCTGAATCACTCTCTGGTTCTTCTCTTAATTCTTCATTCAGCCCATTGGTGGATTTACTTCCTGTGACCTTGGCCTGCAGAAAACCCTAAATATATAGATTATGTTAATTTAAGAAATTATTGTTAGTAAAAATGAATTATCTCCCTTCACCAAAATGCACAGCTAAAAAGTCGGATGGATCTGAACCCAGTATGTTAGAATCTGATCATTCTGAATTCTGATGCCCTGTTGGAACTGTATTGTATCAAAAACCCAATATGCCATAATGAATGTTGAATTTTGAGTTTAAGACCATAGACAATCAAAAGTACTCATCTTAAAAGACGTTTGGTCCAAAACAGTTTATTCAATTCAATCTAATTTAAGACTATTTTAAGTTTACATTGGTTTCTATTGATTTTGTACTGCCATCTTTATCTCTCTTGGGCAAATATAATAATAATTGTGCTATTTTCTTTATTATTTTATTTGTCTAAGCATGGACCGTATATACGGTCCATGGTCTAAGAAACATGGTGATGGGAAATCTGGGACAATAGCAATGCATAAAATTTAAGTTTGAATTTTGATAGTGTTTCTCTGAATGACTAACTAACCAAACCATCCTACCAAGTTTGAAAAATAAAATCAGACCTGTAGAAAATTTTACAAAGTTTTGGGACAGCCAAATAATCCCAGCAAGGTAAGTTAAAAAAAAAAAAAAAAAAAATCTCAATAACTCCTATTCCTCAAGAAACTGTCATAAATCCTTGAAAATAACAGGATTCTGTTTATGTATACAAACAATAGTTACAAATTTAAAGTCAATCAGATTTACTGAACAAAAACTGTGTCAAAAATGCCATAATTATGGTAACTTATTATGGTATTAATATTAGTTTAAATTCTGAGTGTTCATGCCAAATAAACAATCCAAACAAACAACGATCATGCGATAAAACTTTGATGTGCATGGCGTATAAATATGGTAGGAGAAAATCATGCTGTAAAATATGATAATTCCTGGCAGAAAGAGTTTATTTTGAAATTTTCAACAAATGCTATCTGGATTTGGATGTGTTCTCTAAACTATAGATTTGACATTTTTAACAAAAACGACATCCTTTTTTAAAACATAGAAAATTTTGTGCCGGTACCAAAAAACAGAATATTCTATAGATTTTTTGTTCAGAGAGTATACAGTATTATACACTAATACAGCTCTTGATAACTTAGGGTCAAATCTATAAATTATGACCATCCATCAATTTTGATTGTCAAATCTTATAGCTCAGACAGCAGTTTTCCAAAACCTAGTGATTTATATCGTACTTAACATTTCTGTTGAAGAAAACAATAACATAGGATATTAGTATTACGGGAGACTGCGTACAACACAATTCCAGACACATTTTTACTATAACATGCATCATGCATTAGAAAAACTGGGATGAATTACTCAAAAATCTTTTAATAACAGAACATTCAAAGCTGTGCAAAAGGAAATAAACAATAATGAAATAGTAGACTCTTTCTTAACAATATTTTAAATGAATGTCAGATAGGTGACAAAACATACGCCCACAGCAGCTAAGTCGCCCGATTGTTCTACAGAGGTTTATCTTTTTGTAGGTAATGTAGGTATTTACAAGACACTAAGTTAACAAAATTGAAAATTTACAGGCTTTTTAGTTTCATTAACGTTAAAAGACTTTGTATAAATTTCATGTCAAACGGATGATACCTTGACCTCTAAATTATCAATTAACCTCTAAAGTGTCCACAACATTTTCAAAGTGATAAAGGTCCGGACAGCAATTATCAGAAATCTTTGAAAAAGTATGATAACGTTAGCCTCTTAAAGCATCCACAAAATCGCTTGAAGGCCGAGAGACGGACGGTGGTATTGACAATATACAACCATTTTTCAATGAGAGCATTTAAAAACTGCCCAAAGTTGAATTCCAAATTTTTAACTCTTGATTTTTTAATTAAGATCCCTGGAAATGATCAGAAAAACTAAACTGTGACAAAATGAGGAATGATTTGAAATATCTTCACATTATCAGGGGTGAAAAGTACTATAATAATGTACATGTACCCTAGACTACTGTCACGGTGATGGTCCAAAAATCTCTATAAAGTAAAAGAGAGAGAGAAATGGGGTTTAACGTCCACTCGACACAAACTAGGTCATTTCGGGACTAAAATATGGTTCAATTTTATTTCAATAATTTGCTTGCACGTACATGTAGGTGGCTTTAGCAGTGAGAGGAAACCGGAGAAAACCTACCATGGTTTGTGCAACAAACTAAAACCCACCAATTTGGACAGACGACCCTACTCCTTGTCACGTACAAGCGGAGAATCGAAACCACGTCACTTGACTCAATGACAGGCCTCATGATTTCATGTGCACGCATTAAACAACTGTACCCCGCCAACTCTCCTTCCTGTTAATATCACCTAACTTTAATAAAATATTGTCATAGAGCAGATAAATAGCGATATTTAAGGGAATCAGTCAAATTTTTGCTTTTAGATAACTGTTAATTGAGTATATAATATTTTCATGGACAAATACTTGATATGGTATACCACTCATAATGTCACTTATTAAGGGTCACACTTAAAACTGATTTTTGCAGCCATTATCTAAGGATAGAAATAGGTGGGTTACCCCTTTAAAGTTAGGTTGTGACTCCAATCATAAAAAGCCTTCAACATGATATCATATATGTTCATCACTGAAGCATTAGTTTGACCATCAGCTCCATTCCAACAAAGGGTTAATCTATCATGGTACTTTTCGGTTGGACCCTTGACAATGTGAAGATGAATTTGAACATTTATAGTAGTGAAACTAGGTAACTATAAAGGCACTACAACTACACACCACTCACCAATTTCTCCTTTAAATTTTCTATTGATCGAGACGACTACAACATTAATATATTCATATATCGTTTAAATATAACAAATATTCAGTTATGGTTGTACTTGATTATTATGTTAGGATGATGATTATGCTGAGTACAGACAAATTCGGTTGTGTTTTTGTTTCTCCAAAATATTGTCATTGCCCTTCCAAAACATTGTAACTGAGATTTTTGTCAAATTTACTATTTTAAAATCTAGATATCCTAAAAAATGACTGTGTGTTTACTATCTACACTAGCCGTCATTAGTTGTTAAAGATACATTCCCGTGTACAAACTGGGTGATTTGATGATATATTTGGACTAACAACTAATTAATCTATCAAAATTTTGCATTAAATCCTCAAAACATTGTATTTGTCAAGGAATATCCCTGCTATAAAAAATTGATTAAAAGAAGTCATGTTTGTGTCACGTGACTTGGCTGACACGGTACCTAGCAACGGGTGCGAAGCCAGATGCACTGCATATACAAGACGATGTTAATCACTATCCATTTATCATAAATATCGAAGCCTATTAAATTATCAGAATATCCACTGCCCACGTCTTTTTACATGGTTTTCATCTCAGAAACTGTTGTACGTTTAAGCTCTTCATCAAGTTTATCAACATATACATGAAGCGATCACTAACGCTGAGATATCATACAAATCTTCGCGAACAACCCTTGACGTCACGCTAGCAGACATACCTAATTGTCAGGTTGCCGGTTTGGGACACCCTTACATTTTTCGCTTGTAGTTGTATGTGAGCTATGGGTGTTTTTCGGGGAATCCAGTATATTTCTGGTAAGATGGGTTGTTTCTACTTTCCATATGCACCAAAATTGCCATGTACTTTTAAGTATCTTTAAGTTTTATAAATGACTATTTGTCAGTATCTTTCATATACCTCTCTAGCTAAAGCAGTGGTTCTCAACCTTGGAACACATGAAAAAATAGTGGCACACCTGGCTAAATATATATATGAAAAATATTTGAATTTTCACAGACTAGTCATAGACACATAGAATGACTCAAACTAAATAAAGAAAAACACAGCTATGAACTTTATTGCAGTGTTTCGAATTTCATCAGTCAAATAGCTGGCTTCTTTGGTGAGAAATTTTCTTAGTATGCTGTTCAAAATTTCGCGGCACACTGGTTGTGAATCACTGAGCTAAAGGGCTGATAAGGGGTGTTTTTCAAATACCAAAATGGTGGCATGTAACTAGAGTTGATAAATTATTTACGAAACGAAATAATCAAGTACAACCTAACAGATCCACATCAGTTTCTATAGGGTAGGTATATAAGGAATTGGGGATTGATTTGGGAAGATAGAGTTTGGATGGATATTTAATGATGTCTACGAAAAAAAAGTGCATATGAAACAAAATATTTTGTAAAAAAAGGATGATAAAAAGTTAAAATAAGAACTTGGACAGGATTCTTACAATGCAATGTCATCCTTTAAATTAGAAAAGAAATCCCTACATAGTCTACATATTTCATGCAATATGTTGAAGCATAATGATATTTGCTTTTTTTCTGTAATAATGCGTTAAATGCTACATGTACAAACTTTTCTTTAAAAAAAAAAAAAAAAAAAAAAAAAAAATTTGTACACAATTCAAAATTTCTAGATTGTTGAGATACTGTCTACTCAAGGGCATTGATCAATATTTATTTATGCTATGCTACGTCTAAAAACTACTCCTTACTCAATTCATACGTTCTGAGATAATATCTGGCTAATCAAAAAGGCTTTTCTTTTCTCTTCTATTTCTATATTTAAAAACAACTTTGAAAGGGTAACTACGAAAAAAATATCGGTCATACATTAGGATGTAAAAAAAAAACATGTTTCTATACCATTGTAATTTTATGAACAGGTAAGCTAGCTAAAAACTATTCTCAGAACTTCCATCAGCTCTCTAGATAACTTGCCTCTAAATAATTAACAACCAATCAAAATCTTTGTTTTACTACTGATTACTGTGTGTATTCATCAGCCAATCAGATCATCTGTCTTACTGAGATTTGGTGACTGAACAAAATATTTCTGATGCATTCAAAAGTGTTAATGATTTATCACAAATTTGATACCATTGCTCGAATCAGAAAAAATGAAAATAAATTTGCTTACATCTATCCAGAGGCAACATTTGTAAAAGAGCAAATAGATTTTCAAGGACATTTGTAAATATTTGAAACTAAAGCTGTATATTATGATACATATATATACATTGACATTTTTTATAATTACCTTAACATTTGTGTAAGTGTGTTCAACCTTTTCTTCCAAAGATTTAAACGTAGGTGAGTTTCTGAAAAATACCAAGCAACAGTTTTTACTAACAGGTGAGATTTAAAGGCAAATGAAATGAAATGGGGTTTATAGCGTCCTGCTTTGCTTCACCTACAGGGCTACAGAGAGAGAAATTGGGTTTAATGTCCACTCGACAAAAACTAGGTCATTTCGGGACTAGGGGTAGGGGTCTTTAGCAGTGGGAGGAAACCCAAGGACCTGGAGAAAACCCACAAGGTTGGACAGATGACCCCACTCCTTGTCACGTACCACCAAGGAATCGAAACCACACCACTTGACTCAATGACAGACATTCTGATTTAACAAACTCCCGTTACCCATTAGGCCCCCCCTCCCACACTAGATTAAAAAGTAAAATCCACTTAATACCGGTATCTTTTATAATACAGGTTCACCTTCCAATAATAGAGAATACAATAATTTATTTCATTCTCTCACAACAAAAGAGAGAGAGAGAGAGAGAGAGAGAGAGAGAGAGAGGGGTTAAGTCCACTCAACACAAACTAGGTCAATTCGGGACTAACATATGGTTCTATTTTATTTCAATAATTCACTTGCGCGTAGGGGTCTTTAGCAGTGGGAGGAAAGCGGAGAAAACCCTTGAGGTTGGACAGGCGACCCTACTCCTTGTCACGTACAACCAGGGAATTGAAACCATGCTAATAGACTCCTATGTAGTACTAGAGAGAGATGGGGTTTAACACCCACTCGACACAAACTAGGTCATTTCGTGACTAGTATATGGTTCAATTTTATTTCAATAATTCACTTGCGCGTAAGGGTCTTCAGCAGTGGGAGGAAACCGGAGGACCCGGAGAAAACCCACGAGGTTGGACAGGCGACCCTACTCCTTGTCATGTACCACCAGGGAATTGAAACCACGCCAGTTGACTCAATGACAGACCTTATAATACAGCGTGCACACTCTAACAATTCTACCATCCAACCTCCCCTGACAACATAAGTTTGGAAGTAAACTTTTCAAGATCAAAATAGCTACATACTTTATACTTCTATGTTTTGAAAATGAAAATAGCTATCTATATCCTAATTTTTTATAATGAAAAAAAGTTGCATGCATATATCCTAATTTCTCAGATCAGAGAGAGAGAGAGAGAGAGATGGGGTTTAACGTCCACTCGACACAAACTAGGTCATTTCGGGACTAAACACATGGTTCAATTTTATTTCAATAATTCGCTTGCGCGTAGGGGTCTTTAGCAGTGGGAGGAAACCGGATGACCCGGAGAAAACCCACGAGAGTGGATAGGTCACCCTACTTCTTGTCACTTACAACCGGTGAATCGAAACCCCGCCAGTTGACTCAATGACAGACCGTATGATACAGCGCAGCGCACACATGCTAACCATTCAGCCATCCAACCCCCCCCCCTTCTCAGATCAAAATAGCTTTATTATATTATACTTTATATTTCCTAATTATTCAAGATAAATAAATCTACATACTTTATATCTCCTAATTTTTTCGAAACTGTGGCTCCCACAGCAGAAAAGGCTGATGTAGTTTTCTCTGATGCTTGTCGTACAATACCAGTTGTTTTCTGATACCTGAAGTCATAAATACACAATATATAACAAATGGAATCTGTTTAAAGGAGCTAAACCTCTAACTCAATATTTGCCATAATATTCAAAATTAAAAACACGAATTAGAATTCAATATTGATCAATTTCAATGAATATTGATGATGTTATCTTGCTGTGAAACTTTAGGATCCTAATATCTAACATTTAAGACACAATTAACATTTTATAATCAGTACAGAAGTTGTGTACCCTTTGTAATGAACAAATAAAAATATATCCTACAACACAATGTGGAAGTAATTTGTAAAGGCTGATGCGCAAACGACAAAATAATAATTTAAAAAAACATGTAGAATGCACTAAGCAGGCGTAAATGACTGCCATTCAATTTGAACTGTTCACATGTTTAACCGAACATAATTAATTAGAATCATTAAATTGTCGAACCATTCTAATCTATTTAAAATCGGAGCTATCGAGAGATGATTATGGTCTTGCCATGTTAATTATTGGCCAATTAATAATTTAGATAACATTTCAGGCCTAAAGAAAGACCTGCAATAGCAGAGTTATCTCTCACATAATATATGTTTAAGTTCAGAGTTGATTAACCATGGTAGATAGTAGAATTGATTCCAGTCTGTGGAAAAATTAGATATTTCATGTTACTTTAAAGTAACCACTAATTTTACTTGGTTTTATATTTTGCTTCATTGTACTGCAATCAAGGCAGAATTTTCCATCAATTATTAGCAAGACCTACTGATTCAAGCCAGTGAAAAGAAACTATTTTCCTAAGCAAGGACTTGCAACAGCAAAGGCGGCTAGCCTTCTATCACTCATAGTACTAGTACAAAATTAACCAGTGGCCTATGGACTTAAAAACTGAATGGAAATAAAACACAACTAAGTATTAAAATACGCAAGGAGTGTATATTAGGTAGGCAGCTGCTGAAATCTATTCACATCATAAATCAATCTCTGCCTATATTAATGAAAATAGACGGACTATTTGCAATTTAACAAATCAATGGAGATAATTGTATATAGTCTAGGTAGGCAGCTGCTGAAATCTATTCGCATCATAAACCAATCTCTGCCTATATTAATGAAAATAGGCGGACTACTTGCAATTTAACAAACCAAGGGAGATAATCTATATAAAAAATCCTCAATAACTCAATACGCTATCAAAAGCTCTAAAAGCACGATTAATAAAAAAAATGCTAATAAAAAACACTTTAAATTACTGCAAAAATTTGTGCAAGAAAATAACAATTAAGTGTGCTATGCTAAAAAGATGTGGAAAATTGGCTGAAAAACATAACAGTGCAATTAAAGTTAGTAAAACTAAAACAATGACGTGAATAGGCCTTCAGGTGTATATATGAGAAAAAAGTAATGGGAAAATAAGGACGCGGGTAAAATAAATGTAGCCAAAATTTCAATTTCAGTTCATGAGAAAAAAAAACTTACGCCGTTGAATGCGTTATCTTGTCATTAATTTCAGTAATTTTTGCATTGGTCTTTTGGTAACTGTAAAAAAGGGGGACAACTCAACTTAGGCTAACAACAAAATGAAGTTGTAACAGAAAAGATTAAAATAATAGAAATAAATGTGCAACTCTAAATTGAACGAAAAACAAAACGGAAATAGTTGACAAACAGTAAATAAAATGTCCACATGGCATTAACATTATCAAGCTGAGAAATACATCAATTCCAAATCCAATGTATTTCAAACTCATAGAAAATAGAAATGAAATGGGCATTTATGTCCTACTTTTCTGCACCCACCTCATTCTACGGACGAAATGTAAAATCTAAAGATCCAGTTACTGCCAACAATACCTCCAACTTTTTGGGTCATCCCTTTCTACATATCCAACAAAGACGGTAGAAAAGAAAGACTCACGTATATGTTTGTTTTGTTTTTTTATAGTTTTTGCTAATTATATACATGTAAATTAATTCTTAATATCTTTTGTGAACAAATACTTTAAGCCCTGGGGAGGTTTTCAATTAGGCTTTTCCATCTTCAATCCTTGAAATATAGGTTGGCCTGATTCTAAACTGATAAACACCTTTCTACATGTTTGGGGCACTCTCAAGTCTTTTTATGACAATTATCTTTAATATGACAATAAAATGAAATGAAATAGGGTTTCGGTCCTACTTTTCTGCTCCTATACTGGGTTAATGAAGACGGGCATACATCTTACAGTGTGCTATGAGGGAAAATTTGTCAGAACAGCAGCACTACATCTTACTCTTATATCGAATTCCAACTGTCAAGGAATCTTTTACGTGCACGCCAATGTGTGCACATGACCTTGGTTTTTTGGACCATCCGAATGACTAGACGGCTGTCCTTGTCAGGCCCTCCGTCCTGCATCACTGACAAGGGAAAACCATGCCGGAAAATTTGGATGAACTTTGTCAGCCAATGCAGGGATCGAACACCCGATCTTATATGACGATAAAAACATACCCTTCTGATCCTTTAATATGTTCTAAACTGGTAGCCATATCAGCTTTAAATTCCTGGAATGGTGTAATTCCCATCTTACGTTTTAATTCTGAAGCGTAACGAACTTTAGTTCCTAATACTTGTCTTAATGTAGCTATTTCGCCTTCAACCTGTAAGAAAGACAAAAGGTCATAGTTCATTAAAAATTCAATACATAGACTGGTTGAACTACCCTCTTGGCCGCATTACAAAAATCATACAAAAACTTAGCAGTTACCACTAGAATGCAAGTGCAATAATCAAGCCTGGACAGAAGGCATCTGTCACAGAGAGAGAGAGAGAGAGAGACAGAAATGGGGTTTAACATCCACTCGACACAAACTAGGTCATTTTGGGACTAACATATGGTTTAATTCTAATTCAATAATTCGCTTGAGCGTAGGGGTCTTTAGCAGTGGGAGGAGAAAATTGCTGGGATTCCATAGGTTAATTTGTCTCTTTGAAAATCTAATTTGAATTAAAAGAATTAATTTACAGTCTAATGATTTCTCATCTGTTTTCTTAAAAAGTAATCAACTATGGTACTGGTAACATGCCATTTAAAAATCCTAAAGAATGTTCAAGAATTCTTGTCCAAAACCCTAAATACAAACTGTTTTGTTATAAAATGAAGGAATGTCTGCCAGGTGCGAAAAAAGGTGATTAATGAAAAAAGGTTGAAAATCAACAGGCTTCTTTTTTCACTGAGACAGATAACCCATTACAATGTCTAAAATATTGTATGAATTATTGTAGCTGAATAATACATGTAGATCGACGGACAGACAGGACAAGGGAGTAGGCAAGATATAAACACAATAAAATGGTAACCTTTATTAACTCTTCTTTCCATTCTAACATCTGTCGATCTCGTTCAACAGGATCTTGATAAACTGGTGTATCTTCATCAACACTCTGTGCTGTCTCAAACACTGGTGATGTTAAATTATCATATACCTGATCATCTGAAATATACAAATATTTGGATTAAACTTTGCTTAATTATTTTGAATAGGACATGGGTATATACAATACTGATAAAATGGATTTGAAAACAAGCTGAACCTTTATATAAATTCATCTCCAAGTATTTAAACTCCATTAATTGCACAACAAGCCCAATCTTTCACATTATCTCCCAAATGTATGTATTATTTTAATGTATTTAAGACTGTTGTTATTGCATGTATAATGACATTGGAGAACAGGTACAGTACATCAAAATCTCTATAAAGAAAGAGTTGGCTTGTGTAAAAAGATAAAAGAATTATTTTTAATAATATTTGACAAAGAAAGACACATCATGATGGCAATTTGAAATCACTGTAAACTTTAAATGGTCACATTTGGACCAGAATATTTTTTAAATTAAAATACAGTAATGTTTTATTGTGTATGTCTATAAGCTTGTTAACTTTTATTCTGGTACGATGTATGTTGGTCCTTTAATGATCTATCTTTCCTAATAGCAAGAGATAGTACCATGCACCAGTTTTAATGTAGTGCTGGATATTGCAACTGCAGTCATAAGAGGTGGATCCAAGGAGATCGACAGTGCCCTTTTTTACTGCTGAAAGTGCCTTTTCTCAGACCCAAATATGTCCATTCCCAACCCGTTGCACTGATCCCAAATGACTCAAACTATCGACTCAAACACACCAGTCTGGTCTAATTAATGCTTCCACTTTCAAATGAATTCTTGTTGTTTAGCTGACAGTGCCCTAATCCTATAGAGTGACTATAGACAGACATCAATGATAGCATCTTGTAGAATCGGCGGCGTATACACTCATGCCCATCACCGACGCGCATGAGTGCAACTTGATGTAGCATCATGTGTCACCACTCGCCTTGACAATTTTCGAATGCATGTTCAACTGGCTTTTTTATTTTACTTTATATTGTATATGTAATTTGTACCTTCAAAAGACTTTTCTGATAAACTGTTTTCATCATCTGACAATGATGTTGTCTGAGTTATTGAAAGATAATTATGATAATCCGCTAATGAGTTAATCACTTTATCATAATCCTTATCTTCATCTGTAGCATCTGTAACACTTAATCCCTGCAGATTAACATCCATTAGAATTGTTCCGGGATTCGTTGATATCACATTATTTTCTTTATCCATGGTTTTTGATTTTTTTAACAATTCGTCACCTCTCATTTTGTTGCTTATCTATTGTCACTTGTACTTTAAGAAACAAATTTCGATATTTCTGTTGCGTATTTTGATTTTAATTTGGCTAAAAATGCAGCCGATAATTACATGTTCCTCAACACAAATTAATTTCTACATCTTCATCAGGTCTAACCAAATGTAACACACCATCAAATGTCTTCTGAAATAATCGTTTCATTAATCACTCTACAATTTAAAATCAATCTACTTTAGCGCTTTTTGCCACAAATTAGAATGAAGCAAACACAATCAAAAATTCATTAACTGATCACCAAGCAGTGAAACCCATAACAGAAGATAAACAAAATCTGACAAGAACTTTAAAACAAATAATTTAAAAGCGTAATGTTATTATTTGATCATTAACTGATCACCAAGCAGTGAAACCCATAACAGAAGATAAACGAAATCTGACAAGAACTTTAAAACAAATAATTTAAAAGCGTAATGTTATTATTTGAAACATTTCTTTAATACAGATCCAGCAAAAAATCAGACAGCATATATAACTATAACCAATTGCTATTAGAGGAAAAGCTTCAGAAACTAAAAAAGATATTATAAACCTCTCTGAAAACCACAAAAAACAAATCAATTCAAAGAAAGTGTCCAAAGAATACTCATTCCAGCCAATTAAAACGAACTCTAAAAAAATCTCAAAAGTATTAAGAAGATTTTTCGTAGCATCTTCAAGAATTAGAGAACCGCTGAACACTCGAATGCCGTGAATATCACAATCAATAAGTTATCTAGTCGCAGAACTTTTGACAATTTCTAAATTGAAACTCAAATAGCTTTAGAAGTTTCCGGTCAATACTTCGGCAACCAAGTGTGATTTAGAATCAGTGAAAATTAGACAGCCAATTATAGATGTTTTATATCTCCGAAGCTGTGGGAATACATACTTTATATTGTAATCTCCATGTTCCTAAACATCATTTGGTTTATTTGTGTTCTGTTGCACAATTATTCCACATATTTCTATTATAAATATAACTATTTCTGATTATTCAATTTTATTTTCATTAAATTGGGATCAATTTTTTTTTGTTCCTGGAATAGAAGTACATGTACAGCTGTTTGAGAGATATAGCTTACAATAAATTGTCGTTTATAATCTATTAAAGTATTTCCCCTCTCACCACTCAAAAACCACTATACAACTGTATGTCCTGATGTGCCATTTTAAGCAATAGGAATCACTTGCAAACTACATTATTGTGAATGATGAATCTCTAATTGGAACGTCAGTCCAATAATGGCTCAATTCCATTCAGTATTTACAAATATCTGTGGAATTGAAGTTTCATTGATCTATATGTATGCTGCTCAAAATGCAATAAGTCCGCAGAGATTTTGTTGTCCACGAAAATTTAATAATAGGATTGTTTTAAAAACCGATTGCATCCAAGCCAGGCTGTTAGCTTAATAATCAATCTAAGTACATATTAGCTTGGATTAAACTAATATAAATTTGATATTGTAGCGACATGCCAATGGAGCATTGTTACTTTAAACACCTACATGTATACAGTTGTACCTCGGCAATAGATGTCAAGATCTAACTGGAACACCTCATATGAAACTGCATAATCAATTCCCCCGATCTGATTAAAACACAGATCCTATTTCGTTTCGTTTCTATAGTTCAAAATTTTGTTTTACTTGTCTTTACTACACTAGGATCTGGAAGAGTTGTTATCATTGACGTGTTCTGAATAGTGTGAGGTATTAGCCAATGAAACGGTCTGTTACGGCAAGCTTTAGGCGTGTTTTGCACGGAACTGTAGGTAATCCACTAGTAACATCAATACTGATTGGTTAATCAAATGTCTGACATCATAGGGTCGCTTGTAGTTGTATGACCACTGACGCAACCTCCCAGTACAACCGGTTGGTCAGATCTTCGTGTAGTAGAGGCCATCGAAAATATAAAAAAATGAAACGAAATATAGATCTGTATTTTAATCAGATTGTCAATTCCCCATAAATAAAAGAATATCCAAGTAGCTAATGAAATCACATCCACTACATTCCTCTTACAGCCAACTATTATCAACCACTGCTAAACATCATCAGTTATACAAAATCTATCAACAGTATAATTACAACCAGATCAGTACAGTAAAACACACTACTGCACAAATACGGAATAGTCCTTTCAATAATATGCTTAAGAGTAAATTGAAAATATAACAAAATTAAAACGACGAGTACGAAAAACACATCAAATAAACGAAAATGACAGAAGGTCTAATTCAATATATACTTTACAAATATCAACTAATACCCACCACTGTACAAATAAGGAAGAGCCCTTTTAATAATATGGTTAAAGAGTAAATTGAAAATATAACAAAATTAAAACTACGAGTACGAAAAACACATCAAATAAACGAAAAATGACAGAAGGTCTAATTCAATATACTACTTTACAAATATCAACTAATACCCACCACAGTACAAATAAGGAAGAGTCTTTTAAATAATATATTTTTAGAGTGAATTGAAAATACATGTATAATTAAAACTATGAGTAAATTACAGTAGGTCTAATAACTCAACAGGTACATCACACTCTCTACAGGTATTGATGACAAGAGTAATTTTATCTTATCTATGTGGTATGTATAAATGTTGTAATATTATTGACATCTTGTGATGGATTTGTATCCAGTTTCCTGATAAAATTTAAAGTGGGAGTAATCGAAAGGGATCAATTATATTCATGTATATATGTACGAAATGAAATGAAATGAAATAGGCTTTAGCGTCCTACTGTTCTGCTCTGACTGGGAAAATGAAGGCTGGTATACACCATACAGTGTGCTATGAGGGACATTTTACCCAGAGAGTGGCTCTACAGCCAAGTCTTATATTGAATTCCAACTGCCAAGGGTTTTTTTTTACGTGAAAGCCATGTTCTGCATCACAAACAACACCTGGATCGAACACAGGACCTTCATGCTAGTGAACCAACGTCTTACTCCCTGAGCCACAATGGCTTCCATGTACGGTATACATGTATTGGTATAATTGACTCCATTCTAGTTATGTTACTTTTCACATCCAAGAAAAAATTCTCAAGTAAAAGATAGAACCTATAAATTTTTTGAATAAATGATAGCTCATATCAGGTGTTCTGGAGAAAGTAAGCATACCCTGCCTCATGTACAACAGTTAGGTGAAAAAGAAAGTTTTGATTTTAATTAAATTTAAATTGTCTCTTTATTATAGCTACATGTATTAACATTTCACAATAGTTTCAATTTCTTATCTCGGACATTGTTTTCACAACATTGTACATGTATGCATCTGTAATTTGTAAATACCAGAGACTTGATTACCATGACCCAAGACTACGTGGCTAAATAGGTATTGGGATAATCAAGTCTATTTTGACAATTTAATTAAATGCCAAAGAAAGCTGTGCTTTCTGTTATATCCAAATAAGGAAAGCTGCAGTGTAAAAATACGCCGTGACATTTAGGGTGACGACCTCCTACATGGACCGACTAAATGTCAGAATGCTCCTTTTGAGAAAACGACTCAAAGTTTTGGAAATTTGCCAAAGCAGAAAAATCAGTAAATTGTCTGAAATTAGACATTGTTAATTTCTACACTATAGTTTATCAATTAAACTATCGCCATCTCAAATTCTATTCACAGTGCAGACATTTCAGCTATTTTTGGTCTGATGCAGACACAGTAATCAAGCTAGCACCATTGATATTTAAATTATTTATGACTATAATCTTATCCTCAACACACCATTAGCAAATGTCTGGATAACACAGGTATAACTTCCACAATTTAGTATTCTTCATAATAATAATAAGTCAATTCAATATATATATATATATATCTATCTTCGATAGACAGCTTGATCCTGCATTAACTCTGTACATCTTATCAAGGCCTTCACATATTACTCTGCATATTTCGGCATAAATTTCGATTGGGTACTCACCCAATCTGATTAAAATACAGATCCTATTTCGTTTCATTTTTTATAGTTCAAAATTTCGTTTTACTTGTCTTCACAACACTAAGATCTGGAAGAGTCATTATATTACAGGCGTTCTAGTTGATGTGAGGAATTAATCAATGTCTGATGTCATAGGGTCAAAAGCCACTCGTATGACCCCTGACACAACCTCATAGGGTACTCACTCAGTTTAACAGCCTATCAGATTCATCGATCATCGTGAATACCCAGTCTCGCGCTTTTCTGCTAAAATGTCTACCTGTGGTAATTGAAATGCAAAGTTCAAGGTTCGTTCAATGTCAAGGTTCCGTGGAGGTCGCTATATTTGATTTGAGTGTGTTAGTGTCACAACTTCTGATTGGACGCTACTGTTCACATGTCTGCAGTAAAGGGAGGAAACGTAGCTTTAAGTTTGTGAATTGCAAAGTACATATCTAGCAACGTCCAGATGTTGTAAAACTCGCAGTCGTTGCTTCAGGAACATGTATATCTATATATACTGGTTCTATAATCTTGTGTGTATTTGTCCAATTGCATTCTAAACGATATTTTTAAATATTCGCATTCAAACAGTTTCTCTAAGCTATTTGAATGGATTTTCTGTATTTGTTGTTCAATGTCAAAAGGAATGCTGTGTGTATGTGGACACATGTCTACAGTCTATTCTAAAGAAGTTTGGCTCGGCTTTGACACACACAGTGCTCACACATATTTAAATATTCACATTCAGATAGTTTTTAAAGGCTACATTGTATTCAAACTGTTATTTAAACAATTAATGAAGCATTATGTGTGGTTTAGTGGTTGTGAGTGAGACATTAGGTAATATATTACTCAATGTCTGAAGCTGGTGACCATTAAAAATTAAACAACTTAAAATACAGACACTTGGTACATGCTTTGCAATGAAATATATTACGTAATGTCTTAAGCTCGAGACCATTAAACAGCTTAAATTACAGACACTTGCTACATGCTTTTTGCAATGAAATATGTCACACGGGTACAAAATTTCAACTAGTATTAATGTACGCTTGCACATTGCCTGTACCATTATTTAAAATAATAGTACGCCAACATCAAAGAATGATGTCACATCTGTATTTTAAGTAAGACTAAGAGCTAAATCTGCCTATTGCAGGTCTTTATGTTGGCTTCAAATGTTATATATATATAAATTGTTATTTGCATGACAAACCTATAATCAACTCAGATGGCAAAGATTTTAACGGATTGAAATGCCATTGCTATTTAATGAATCAATCTAAACATGGAGAACCGAGGCTGAGTCACAATTAACAAGTAATGTTGCTACGTTAATAACAATCTATGCCACATCTTGTCAAATATTCAGTGATATCATTGCTCAGAATAAAGTAATATGAATGAAATTTTCTAAATATATTTATTTTGAATTATGTATTTTTGACCTATTATAGCAAGAACAGCCAGCTCTGTACCTAAACCTTACAAAATGCATCTTTTAACTTGTGTAATTTGATCACTAGAAAATAAGTAATAATGCCAGTTCAATGAAATACCTTTAATATCAACTCATGCAACCTAAAATGTTATCTAAATTATAAATTAGATATTAAGTAACTTATCCAGACCATAATCAAGTTTTGATGCCATTGCTAGTCGTTGATATTTAGCGGATTAGAATACATTTTGTGAAGAATAATCAAACATAAAAATGGATATTCGAGACTTTGTTTTTTATCGTACAGACTTTAGTTAAGATAATCGAGGCTAGCCTAAACCGCTAATACCTCGGTTCAGAATTGAGCTGTTTGAAATTTTCAGCATATTCTATTTACATTATTTATTTTTTAACTATTATGGCGAGAACTGCCAATCTAATCTCCCATTATGCTCCTTTAACTGAAATTTTGTTCTGCTACCAAGAATGTCACCAGAAATGTAAAACAGAAAACATTACCTACATGTATATTATCCTTTAGTGGCATTTAGCAATTGGAAACATAACAAAACTGACACAGTTATATGGAACAACAATCACTGGTTTGTATAATAAACCAGTGATTGTTGTCCCATATAACTATGTCAGTTTTGTTATGTATATTATCCACAAAGTGGTATCAGTTGTTTTAGTATAACTTGTCTTGTGCTCATCATCAGCTAATTGTATTAATAGTTAGGTTCGACAATGATTCTCTAAAACCAAAGTAACTTTATTGAAGTAAAATCAAGTGATTTTGAATATGCATACGCTACTTTGTGAATGGTACACCTGTCACATAAAGAGGCAATCACACTCATTTAACAAATAAATATGATGCCTTATCATTGAAATTCTAAGCAATGACCTACAAGCATTAAGAATTACAAATGTAGGTGTATTCAATCATGTCATTTTAGGAAAAGCTTTGTAGATATATATGTCTCAAAATTTGACATGCAATCTAATTTGAACACACTGAGGTAGACAAATCATGTCAATCAAAGAATTATTTTTGACTTGACCTCTGAAGCATTAAATTAATGTCTCCTTAATTATAACTATCTATTGTCAATAAGCAAGAATATATGGTTATTAATATACTAGATAAATATTGATGATAGTATATTATTAACTTGTACAACTAGAAACAAGCCTTCAGGGCTTCAAACAATTTTAATACTATAGATAACAAATCATCACCAAACCTAGTTACAGCCTTAGATCATGTATTTTTTGGACATCAAACAAATTTAATACTACAGATAACAAATCATCACCAAACCTAGTTACAGCCTTAAATATAGGATTTTTGGGGCATCAAACAAATTTAATACTACAGATAACAAATCATAAGCAAACCTTACGGCTTTACTTAGAGCATGCATTTTTTGGACTAATGGCAAAATCCATACTAAAATGTTGAGAACAAAACCTGAATATTAAGAGTAGATAATCTCCAAGCTTGGATTCTAGTGGATTCAAATGAGGACTATTAAAAGATGTTATTCAACACTTGTACTGGAATAATTACTGTTACATTGTCTGCAGAAGCTGAATGCTGCAAAATTTTCAATTCATTATATCATATGGAATGGAACAATATTTTGACTGATATTCCTTTCAAAGATACTTTTTCAATATTGTGGTTTTGCAAGTAATCTTTCATATTAATGTTAAGACCCTTATTTGTAATTAAACACATCTGTTTAAAGAAAGACCTTAATGAAGAATTGACTGGCTTGTATATAACAGATAGTAGAATTAACACCAATAACGATAGCGATGTGAAATCAATAGAAACCAATGACACTAACGTCAGTTAGACGTGATCAAATTGATTAATGTATGGATCAAATTGTTTCTTTAATAAAAGTACTTTTGGCTGTATATGGACATGGTCTTAAACTCTATATTCAACCTGTATTCCGGTATTTTAGAGAGAGAGAGGGAGAGAGAAATGGGGTTTAACGTCCACTTGACACAAACTAGGTCATTTCGGGACTAACACATGCTTTAATTTTATTTCAATAATTTGCTTGTGCGTAGGGGTATTTAGCAGTGGGAGGAAACTGGAGGACCCGGAGAAAACCCACAAGGTTGAACAGGCGACCCTACTCCTTGTTACGTACAACCGGGGAATCGAAACCACGCCAGTTGACTCAATGACAGACCTTATGATACAGAGCACACTTGCTAACCATTCGGTCATCCAACCCCCTGTGGTATTTTAGACTTTGAAATATATTCAATTACATGTATATATCTAATTTAGAAAGAAAATAATTTCAATTGTCATAAATTTTGATAGCATGTAGGACTACTATATTTGTATAGTCAGTGATTCATCATATATTTATAAAATATATCACATGCTGTGGTGACATTATAATTACATACTGTCACTTTTAAACATATTTATACATGTAGCTTGATTAAAGCTATAAAGGGACACATCGCAAAATATAAATATAAATTGTTTTGAGTTATTTTCCCTTTTATTAAAGCTACAATATTCCTGTCTAAACAGCAATAGACTTTCAGTTGAGGGTCTTAACAAAGAGGAAATGATTTTTAGTCTAGAGTATTGTGTCATTAAGGCTATGGCTATACATATAAAAATATTATTTTTTAAAACTATTTGTCAAAATTGTTTATTAACAGATGTTACCCAAGTTCAATTAACAATTTATGACTGTAACCTTTGATGTGTTTATACATACGTATGTATATCTCTTAATCCAGGACTGAACAGCTGTAATAGAATTTTGTTATATAAAAATAGATTTTGATAAAACATCAGCATTAAGCTTGTTTATTTCCATACTTCAGCTCTGCTGCCATGGTGGCATGATGAGTCCCTCAGGATTTTCCAGTCTGTTTTCCCAGTTTTCCCAGTGTTTCAAGTGCAGGGCGAAGCGGCTGATGACGAAAAAAGCACCGATTCATTTTGATGGAAACGTAAAACATAGGTTCACAATTCACATGTTAATCCTTGGTGTGCACGTAAAAGAACCCTTGATGATGCAATAAAGAGATGAATCAAAGCACTCTGCACAAGTGTGGTACATGTAATTTCTTGTAACCCTCATATTTGAGCTTACAAACTGTTTATTTTTTTTGTGGTGAACGTAAACCAGTTGGTACATACATGTATGTAAACTGTTTTTTGATTGGTCGGTAGAATCACCCTACGTAGCCAATGAAATCATCAAGGGCAAATAATTTGAATTCGTGAAAACCCTGTGTATGGACCCAGGGGTTAGTGGGGTAGAACAGAACGATATCACACGTGATACCGAGGATGTTGCTCTCTTGGCAGATATGTTTTCACTTATATCTAGGTGATTATATCTACATTGTAGGATTTAAATGTTTATTTTTTGGTTAAATACATTTGGACCAACTTGCAGATGGACCATGTAATTTAAAGTACATAGCAATTTATAAAAACAAACCACACCTAATCTATGTACATGTATGTACCGGTAGTTATAATGAGCTATATTAATTATGGTGATCTACAAACCTATTGAATCTTACAAACCTCCACATTTCTCAAATAAAACATTTGAAAACTCCACTTCTTAAATTGGTAGACTATCAAAATAAACCTTGTTTGCAATAAGTGACTTTAAATGGACATTATTTGAAAATAATTCAAGCACTGGAGCTTAAATTGTTAAACATACTAAATTATATGCATTACATGTATTTGATCAACACATGATAAAATACTGATTAATGATTATTCTGGCTGAGTGGCCTGCATAGCCAGATTACCCCTTTATCGGTTTTTACTGCAATTTTACTTTTTTTATAGATCCATTCACAATCTCTCAAAAGTGATCAAATCTAAACACATATTACATAACACTACCATAAATGAAGTTGATTATGCTTTCTTCCTTATAACACATAATCATGTATTTCCAAGCACAAAATCAAAACTGTTTGAATATTTCACATATAAAAACACTGTTATCCACAGCACTACAAACTGAGTCAATAGAAAATGTGATAAACACAAAACCATAGATTTTCTTTCTTGAATAACATTAGAATCAATCTCACCATTTACAAAACTTTAGAATAAACTACGTACTTGTTTACATGTATCCAACTGCTGTCACAGTAATAAATTAAAGGGACATATTGCCAGATTGTACACTAGAGACAACTTTAAGCAATATCCAGGGTTTTGAACCTACCAAAGTTTACAAACATAAACACAATATATCACTGATTTCCTTCCATAACATTAATTAAGAATATCACAATTTTTCAAAACTTGATCACAAGTAGAACTATATCCAACGGTTGCGATGGGAATGAGTTAAAACTGTACCCAGCCTGCAGGTTAACCAGTTAAAAATGTATTAATCTTTGCCACGTCAATATCCTGTGTCAACACTGGCTACAAACTCTACCTGTATTTAGCAAGTAAAAGTCGACAAGCCCCCAAGGGTTGAATGAATCAATAATTTACCAGTCCTTATGAACCTGTCACACTCTTGAGTTACTTAATATGATGTAACATTATTGTTATTTTTCCTATAACAATAGGTTATCTTTAGATTAAAGACAAGTTAACACTCTAGAAACCCTCTCTTCTCTCAGCTTATGATATATACATGTATTTGGACCAAAATGTGCTAACGACCTCTATTAAAGTAATGTCTTTCCTGTACTAATTTAAAGTAGCTAAGTTTCTAATTCAATACCATCCAGTCTTTGACATTGAGAACACAAATTATTTGTTAATTCAAATCAACATTGATGTTGTGAACTTACTGGGAAAAGATGGGCTTTTGACATCCAATATTTAAGACAAAATAAACATTTTACCATTGGTACAAGAATCGTGTACCATAATGGGTTCCAGCGTCATTTGTAATAAGGGACAAGAAAGAACGAGGCTAGACATATTCCACAAGTCATGTCAAACGGTGACGACATATCCTTATCTGGAGAGCATGCGCAATAAATACTATCGGTGTAGACTGGAATAATAGAGATTGCCATTCGATTGAGACTTCTGGTGTATTTCGCCAAACATAACTGATGAGAAACGGAAACGATTGAATGTAAAGGCCAAATTATAATTGGAAGTTGTTAAAAATGAAATGAAATTGGGTTTAACGTCCTACTGTTCTGCTCCAAACTGGGCTTTTGAAGACGGGCATACCCCATACAGTGTGCTATGAGGGAAATTTTGAACGGACAGCGGCACTACGGCCTACTCTTATATCGAATTCCAACTGTCAAGGGATCTTTTACGTGCACGCCAACGTGTACACATGACCTCGATTTTTCCTCCAATCCAAACGACTAGACAGCTCTCCTTGTCAGGCCTTTAGTCTGGCATCAACGACAAGGGGGAACCAATCCGGAAAATCTGGATGAACTTTCTTGGCCAATGTAGGGATTGAACACCCGACCTCCAGGCTAGCGAACCAGCTTCTTACCCACTTAGCCACCGTAACACCCGAAGTTGTTAAAAACTAATAGCCTTCTTCATTGCATGGACATAAATACACTGTGTATAAATTTTGATCAGATGATAACTAGAGCATCCAAAAGATTTTTAAATTGATCAAGGAACATAACTCTGCAGGTAATTATTTGAAATCCTTAAAAAGTAAAATGATTTTTCGTCTCATGGACAAAAAAACGTGTGTAAATTCAAAGACAATCAAACAAAAACTTGACCCAAACACAAGACCATAAAATTTTTGTTTGAGTGTTCAATGGTATTAACGCTGCAAGTATGTGTAATTAATAGAAAAAGTTGAAAATTAGTATGCTTCTTTGTATCATAGTTTTCCAACATGGTTTCCAGTTGTGCAGAACGGAGGGCCTGACAAGGACAGTTGTTTAGACTTTTGGATGAGACAAAAAACCAAGGCCCTGTGTACACATTGGCGTGAGCGTAAAAGATCCCAAGACAGTTGGAATTCGATATAAGAGTAGGCCTTAGTGCCACTGTCCAGGCAAAATTTCCCTCATAGCACACTGTATAACTTATGTCCGTCTTTATTAGCCCAGTCAGAGGAGAACAGTAGGACGTTAATCCCCAATTCATTTCATTTTTATCATAGACATCATGAAAGTTGTTTCAGTGGCTGCCAGTGAATTGCCCCGCCTACCCAATATTTATTTTATAATCATCTCACAAATTGTCAGTATATTGGCAGTACTGTCGGTCACTGTAATAGAGAATGGAGAAGTGCAGCCAGCGTGTAATAGCTCTATCCATTCAGTCTCCTGAATGATAGATGTTTCCACATGGTTATCCAGTCGTCAATACATATGAATGTTGGTATATAAAAATTGTGTATTTACTCACTTTCTATCTAAAACATTAAAATTTCTTTAAAACTGATTATCAAATAAAGAAATAAACTATTTGTACATGTAGATGTTGTGTAGAGATGATAAATTACATGATCAGATGGATGCTCATCTAAAATTCCATTAAAGTTGTAACACTTTTGCCATAGTACAATATGTATGATACATCTTGTCAAAACTTCAAACACATAATCTAATTAAAATATAGATCTATATTTCGTTTCGTTTTTTATACTTTCGATGGCCTACACTACATGTATATCTAACAAGTTATAGTGGGAGTTCACGTTCTATGACGTCAGTTACGAAGCAAGCGACATTTGACCCAATTACGTCAGTCATTCGATTAATCAATTAGCGACCGCCATGTATTTTTTTTATCTACTTTTGATTTGTTTTGATTTCTATTGCCGCTAATGTCTACCCACAGTTCCGCGCAAAAAAGGTCAAACGCTCGATTCGACAGACCATTTGATTGGCTGACCCCTCATTTCAAGCAGAACACGAGTTAAATAACAACGTTTCCAGATCCAAGTGTAATAAAGACAAGTAAAATCGAAATTTTGAACTATAAAAACGAAACGAAATTGGATCTGTGTTTTAATCAGATTGAACACATAACTTTGCTCAGAATAATTTAATTTGAATATAATTTGATAAAGATACCTCAGTAAGATTATTGAAACATTGCATTTAATAAACTAATACATGTAAGTAGTAAATCCATAAAGTTGTGTTATTATGAATTGGTAGATATAAGTATAACATAATGTTACCTATAAATAAGAAATAAGAGGAATTCCATTAACTTCATTTGTTTATTTTATATATAGAAATCTAAGTAATATATAAAAGCTGTGTTAAACATCAATGCCTGACCATATTTATTTAGATTATTGAACAACTTTATGGAAACTTCCATGATAAACAACAGGATGCAGGGAGAGCTATTTATAGAATTATCAGAACTATTTATAGAATTATCATAAACAACTTGATTGTATGAAATGTTTATAAAATGTCTGTAGACTATAGCTCAATTGTTAATTCAATGTTAATTTAAACACTTCATAAGCCTGATTGGTGCATTAAAGCAGGATGTTCAATCCATTTCATTCCATTGGGGTGATAATTTTCTGTTTCACAAAATTGGAAATTCTGTTTTAAAAATTGTGAATTCTGTTTTAAACATTGTGAATTCCGTTATTTTATGTTTTTCCTTGACATGGAACTTTCTGTTTTTTTAGCCTTATGTAATAACTGTTTGGCGCTATTTGCATTGGAAATTTGATTATTGTTTGAGCTCGTTTCAGGTTTTTCATAGAATATGTCATAGTTCCAGGTCCAGTGTGCTGCATGCAACTATAAATCTATTTACTGGTAGTCCTCAGAACAGAATTCCCTCTTAGTGATCAGAATGAGGCAACCAGAATCTTCATGTAATTCTGGTTTTGGACATAGTAAAATTTACTTATGAATTCTATATTTTGGGGGGATTTACGAAAATAAAAGTATTTTATGATCACATTTATAGATTTTTGGAAAAGTAGACACTTTCAACGATATTCCGTTTCAGATTGTAAATACTATTTCAAAAGCCAGATTCCGCGATATTTCCGTGGAAATCATCAGATTCCGCGATATTTCCGTGGAAATCATCAGATTCCGCGATATTTCCGTGGAAATCATCAGATTCCGCGATATTTCCGTGGAAATCATCAGATTCCGCGATATTTTCGTGGAAATCATCACCTCTAATTTCATTTAATCTAAACTGGGGACTACGAAAGCCCAAAAAGAAAAATATGTTGATAAGGTTACAATATTCAAATGAGATACAAAGTATTGTTGGCAATCATGAAGCGTACTTGAAGCATAATATGTAGAGCATGACAATAATATTTCTATGTATGCATATGCCTCTGGAAATTTTGCACATTTAAATTCAGTATGTATTGGTTCTAAAGTGTTTATGACTGTGAGCAGTTCCTCAGTTTTTAAACCTTTGAATTGTTATTTGAATCAATGTTTATTTCAATATTTGATTGAAGTCCTTTTTTCCCAATAACATTTCAGACAGCAATGACAACCAGTTAATCTAGCTAAAATCTCAAATCTGTACAGTTTGTTTTTTAAAATTTTGGTGTTTACTGTTAAAGATTGTACCAAATAAACTAAGCTCTTGGTCCTTTAATTCAAGATGTCATGACAAGGTGGAAATCCAGTTTCAATGAAACTAAATGAAATGAAATGGTATTTAACGTCCTACTGTTCTGCTCCAAGCTGGGCTAATGAAGATAGGCATAAGCCATACAGTGAGCTATGAGGGAAATTTTGCCCGGACAGAGGCACTACGGCCTACTCTTAGTCTTATATCGAATTCCAACAGTCAAGGGATCTTTTACGTGCACACCAATGTGCACACGGGACCTCGGTTTTTCATCCCATCCTAACGACTAGACAGCTGTCCTCCATCCTTCATCACTGACAAGGGGGAACCACGCTGGAAAATCTGGATGAACTTTCTCAGCCAATACAGGGATCGAACACCCGACCTCCTGGCTAGCGAGCAGCGAGCCAGTGTCTTACCCCCGAAATCCAGTTTCAACACACATGTAGTCAAGCAACATTTTAAGCAGCAACAACAAGCTCTACTTCTGCTTCCTTGCGGGCCAGGAAATGATAATTTCAGTTGTAGTCTACAATTACAATGTAACTGACATTTTGAGAGAGAGTGAGAGAGAGATAGAGAAAAAATGGGATTTAACATTCACTTGGTCATTTCAGGACTAACATATGGTTCAATTTTATTTCAATAATTTATCTGTGGGAAGAAACTGGAGGAGGTTGGAGGAATTAATAAAATATAAGCCTATAACATACTGTATGCCCATCAGTCAGGCTGCAACAATATGTGAACCTGTAATATGATATACAACATGAATCATACTTCACGATTATTAATCTATATCAAAAT